GTATTCATGCATAAGTTTAACGTCCCATATAAAGGCCTCCTTGTTGCATACGGACTGGCGGAGCTCAGGGTTTACAGTGCAGTACTACTACCTAGTTTCACCCATTTATAGAGAGTGAATTCAAAGTACTATTTCCTCTGATGACCGCCCCGCCGGTTGAGGGGCTATTGCAATTTTTCGTGCTGGATGAGAGCCCTTAGTGATCCAATGTAAGCCGTAGTAAATCCGCCTCCAACCTAACTTTGGTATACTTTCTTACTGGCAATACATCTAATATATGTTTACATGTAATCTTCATCTAACTGTAGAGTTGTGAAATTCGTGTACAAAGAATACAGTTTGGAGAGTTCAAAGTTGATAATTTCATTATTGTACCTACCATGCAATTAAGTCTCCAACTATCTAAACCTCCGCCTCCCTCAACCCCCTTTTAAACCGATCAATTGCCCTAGCCTTTGTCTCCTTCCAATCCACATGCGGCTTGGGATACCCCAGTTTCTCAAACTCTTCTTTTGACAGTCTTGCATACGGCGCAAACACGGCCTTGCCTTTTACATCCTTGAGCTCAGGAACCCATTTCCTAATGTAATCGCCATCTGGATCATTCTTCTCAGCTTGCGACACGGGGTTAAACACAGTGTAGCTTGGTTCCCAGCCCTGTGTGTTGTTGGAGAGATCCCAGTCGATGAGGGTTTCGGCAAAGTAGCGTTCACCGCGGCGGTAGTCCAGAAGCAAGTTGCAGTAGAGATACGACGACACGTTCATACGCAGGCGGTTGTGCATGTATGCTTCAGCATTTAGCTGGCGCATGCCTGCGTCGATAAAGGGCTCGCCGGTTTGTCCCTTGCACCATTTTTCCCAGCCTTCCTTGTCGTCTTCCCATTGTACAGCGTTGAATTTGAGGTTCTGTGGCAGGTTCATGGATGTGTGTGGCACACAGACTGTGTGTTGTCGATATAGCTCGCGGAAAACGATTTCTCGGACCCAGCTGTAGACTCCGCTTGAGGCTTTGGATTCGGTGAAGTCGGTGCTGCCGCGGTTGTAGTCGACGACTTTGCGGAGAGCTTCACGCACGGAAAACATGCCTGCGCTGAAGTAGGCGGACATGCGCGATGTACTGTTTGCGGCCGGGTTGGAGCGTGTAGATGCATAATGGGAGATTTGTTTGAGAAATGAATCCATGCGTTTTACGCCTTCGGCATGGCCAGCCGGCCAAAGTTTTCGAATCCTCTTCTTCTCGTCTTCTGACTTGAATTGCTTATCTTTGGCGGGCTTGGGTGCTGGTGTGTCGAACAGATCCTTGAGCTCTTTCTTCATAGATGAAGGGTTCGCGGCAGGTGGAGGGCGTGTATCAAGGAGTTCGGGTTCTTCTCGCAATCTGCTGAGCCAAGCTTTGTGGTATGGCGTGAAGACCTTCATCGGCGATCCGGACGATGTGGTCATTGTACCGGGTTCAATCACGGTCTGGTCGTGGAAAAGAGAAACCTGGATATCTTTCCCAGAAGTCTTGACTAGCTTCAGATCTCGGCGCATCTCGTCAATCTCGTATTCGTAGTTGCCAAAGACGTGGGAAATTTTGTGATTCTTCAGCCACTCAACGGCGGTCTCCACAATCTTCTTTCTGTCTTTGCACTCTATGAAAACCAATGGTATGTTTAGCTCCTTGAGTTCTTTTTGCATTATCCTCAACCCCTCACACATGAAATCAACTCTTGCTGGACTGGTCCCATGCCATGATTCATCGGCAGGACAGTTGATGTAAAAGCACACCAGAGGTCTCTTGGCACTTGTAGCAAGCTCAGAAGCATGATGTAGTGCGGTATTGTCCTGGATTCGGAGGTCCTTGGGGTGGAACCAGTGAGCGACTTTTGTTACGTCTTTAACTTCATCTTGCGCGCCAAGTGCTTCCTGGACTTGATCGTAAGGGAGATTTTCATCAACCTGCTTTGCGCGTTTTGCAGACGTGTGACCGAGCTCGTCACGCTCGTAAGATGTTCTCTTCGACATATCAGTTTTGGTAGGCTTTTTGAGTGCAGTCCGATTTTGGAAACGCGTCGCGTGACTGATGGCGCGATTTGGTGGAAGCAGGAATCTGGTATGGTAGGCCGCAGTTCGTCTAGCAGCAGAGATTCGGACAGTATGCGATATGAAGGCGCTTCTAAAGGAATACATTGGCTGTGTTCCTAATACATGGTTGCGTCTTTGTACCTCTGTATGAGCAGATTTGCATGAGGGTCTCAAGTGGTGACGTCGACAGAACCGAACTATCCAGACTACGGCCGATTCAAGGCCACACCATGATGGGCAGCCGACATCGAACACCAATGGAGAGCATCGCTATCGCTGTTTCAGATGCAAGATCTGGGGATCTCCCTGGCTCCCGCTGCAGCATGCGATCTATATCCACTCCCCTGGATTTGGTAATGTCGTGCCTGGATAGCGCTGTAGGGGGTTTGTGGATATAAGGCACGCGACAGCCAGCAGTCCACAAACAACGGCTGATGTCGATGCCCATATCATGGATCAACTTCGCGCGGTGCAGACTTTGATCCCGGTAGAGCGCTAAATGTCTGATTGATGGAATGGCTGCAGAGAGGGTTTTCAGCCGCGAAAACTGGCAGGCTGCCCAGCCACGTCGTTTCCCACAACCACAATCGCCGCCGGCAATATACCCGCCTGGGGTGTGGGTCAAGGAAGATGTTCTCATTTTGTCTGACCAAGAGGCAGGAAAGTATGACGAATGGAGAAGCAGTCTATTGAGCACAACGGGGGGCGGTCCGTTTTCCAACCATGCGCCAAGCTACATGGCGTAGCTGTCAAACCAATCGCATGCCATGTGCTCGCAACGTGATGCCAAGACATTCCCGTTAACTGTCTGCCAGATCCCGAACAGGCAGCTCGGCAAGATGTTGATTGATGACATTGGCTCATAACCGGACCATCCCAGCGGACTGGGTGCTGGTCCATGGAGCTGGATGTGTTCTCTCGAGCAGTAAGATTGCTGGATTATCGCACGAGGGCGGCTGGACATGCATTCCTCTCCACAAACTAGCATCCCCGGGGGATTGAATGCAGTACCTGGTAGCTCAATATGCATGCCATGACTACGTAGGGTGTATTCCAGGAATCCGGCACCAGGTACCTACTTAGACTTATAAAAGTGCCAGGCACAGCACCTAATTCTTTTGCTTCATCGCAATCTTTGAGAGCCTTGTGTAACTGTTCATCTCTCAATCGCGTTCAATATGAAGTGCACATGCTCGGCTGTCGTGGCAGCAGCCCTTTTGGTGGGCTCTGTTTCTGCGCAGACATTCAGGAGACTTGAAGCTTGCCCGACGCTTGGTAAGTTTGTCTTCTTTTATGTGTACACTTGTCTATCTCAGCTAACTAAAAGACAGGCTGCGTATTCCCACCTGACCAGTTACGTACATCATTTATTAAGAATACTAAAGCTCACTTGCTAACGACAAGTCCAGGGCTGACTTCCTCGCTGGCCAATTCTTCGACATTCGACTTGAGGTGCACCAGCCCATCAATGGCTCCGAGGCCATTGGACTACCTCTAGATGAGCAGTTCACCTTTACTGTTGGAAAGAAGGGCGAAGAAGCAAAACCGGTGACCGAGTTCTTCGACCTCGAGGAGTCGAAACTCGAGAAATGGAACTTCACCTATTTTGAAGGTACGTAAGATATTTGAACGTGAACTTTCGAAACCGCTACATACATCCTGCATTTAAAGATGGAGCCCGATGAATTTCCATTGAAGAAGTTGTTTGTGTTGCACACAAAAGAACTTCAATGGTTGGATTTGAGCGTTTGCCGGGCGAAACGCCAGTCACGTGGTCAACGTCCTCAACCTTCTACCACCCGTCAAGATCGTCCTATTACTACCGTTTCGAAATAAAGATTGACAAAAGTACAGATCTGTTCGCTCGCGACGCCAAAAAGCCTTCCGTGGTCAATGTAGCCGCCAAGGCGTATCGTCGTATCGCCTTGTACGAGCCAGGAGAATACACGGCGACATTGCACTACAACAACGGGAGCAAGACCGAAGCCACATGGAGTGTACGTGACCTTTCCGAGGAGCGCAAGGCTAAAAATATCATTTTCTTCATCGGAGATGGCATGTCAACCGCCTCTATAACCGCGGCTCGTTCCCTTGGTCACAGGTCCATCAACGGAAAATTCCAAAGCACTTTGGCCATGGACAAGTTTCCCAGGGTCTCCCATTCAATGACGCACAGCTTATCGACTTTTATCACTGATTCTGCCAATTCTGCGGCTGCTCTGAACACTGGGCACAAAAGCTCCGTCAACGCCTTGAACGTTTATGGCGACTCGAGTAAAAACCCATTTGACGACCCTAAAGTTGAAACGATTGCTGAGATTTTCCACCGTCTGACTGGTGGACATATCGGTATCGTTTCTACTGCGTTCATTGCTGATGCTACTCCTGCTGCTCTGGTTGCTCATACTCGCCTCCGAAACCAGTATGGAGCCATCGTTGACACCTTCCTCAATGGGCTCCAGAACTACACCTGGACAAAGACCCCGATCGATGTGATCTTCGGAGGTGGAGGCGAACAGTTTTATCCTTCCGCGCTCGGTGGAGTCACCTACCAGGACAAGAATTACTATGATGAGTTCGCGGCTCAGGGTTACCAGGTTGTGCACAACCGCACTAGTCTCATGGCGGCCTCACCCGAAGAGAAGACCTTGGGCATTTTCTCAACGTCCAACATGGCCAAATGGCTCGATCGCAATGTTTACCGCAATAATCTTAATCAAACCCTTTCGCCAACTGGTGATAAGAAGCCCGCTCTCGACCAACCCGGCCTCAAGGAGATGACCCTCAAGGCCATCGATATTCTGGAAAGCCGCTCCGGCGACAAGGGCTGGTTCCTCATGTCTGAGGCTGCAAGCATAGATAAGATGCTCCACGCCCTTGATTCGTCCCGGGCTTTAGGAGAGTTGCTGGAGTTGGATGATACCGTGAAAGCCACCATCGAGCATCTCAACTCCACCAACTGCCTCAAAGACACCCTCATCATCGTCACCGCCGATCACGGCCACGGCTTCGACGTTATGGGATCAGTCGACACGCATTATCTTGACGCGCAGGAGGATGATCGCAGGAAACGCGATGCGATTGGTGTCTATGAGCAATCTGGTCTCTCTGAATACATTAACACTGGAAACTTAACCTATGGAGATTCGCATTTCCCCAGCAACTGGGATCCTCGCTACACATTCTACCAGGGTCTTACAGCTGCCCCGGATCGTCATGAGAACTTTAGGGTTACCAAGGACGGCCCCAGAAAGCCCGCTGTTGAGCTAGTGAAGGACAGCGACGATTTCTACGCCAATCCCAAAGACGGTAAGGGTGGCATCTTGGTCAATGGTACATTGCCCGTGGAGAACGACCAGGGCGTCCAGTAAGTTTTCTCTTTGCTCCTTAAAATCGAGGTTTTGCTAATGACCGACATAGCTCGCTTACCGATGTACCCGTTTATGCAATGGGCCCCTGCGAAGATCTGTTCCAAGGGACCTACAACAACATTGAAATCTTCTATAAAATGGCAGAGTGCTTCGGCCTTGGACGTGGGAAGCCATCTGAGGAGAAGTAGAAATTTGGGAAGCACCGCGCATAACGACGTGACGAAGACATCACGACCAACTGTGTAGTGGCGTATCTATGGTACATGTATTGAATTTGTAATCTGCAGGAAATCTATGGACTTGGCTTCCTACATGAATATGTCCTATTTTTGATGGACCGCAACTGCTTCAATCTGAGTGAAAACCAAACCTGGATTGCATTCCAGGGACCGTTTGAACATCACCAGATGGCCGATGTTCCGAAAAAGAGAATATGATCGAACAAAAACTCTCAGGCTTACCCGAAACACGAAGGAGAATATCCCGCAAGAAAGCCGCCAACAAAACAAGACACTCGTGTACCTGGTGTTGAGAGAGTAATTGTACCTCTACACACCCTCCAACTCGTCTTCATCATCGCCCTCGTCATCAACCTCGTTCTCGTCCTCATCCTCATCCTCGCTGCCTTGGCGGTCACCACCATCGTCTTCTTCATGAATATCTTCGAGACCTCGCAATTGTAAGGTAAAGGACTGTTTTTCAGGTGGAATTTCAACCTTAGGTAGTCGGACTAGAATAAATAAAGTCTTTTGTACAAGAATAACCTGCTCGGGGGATGATGCGGACGATCGTAGAGTGCGGAGGCTAGGAAGGCCAGGAGTCCAAGAACACCAAGGACGACCGAAATGCGCGCATGTCGTACAACGACTATCGTTGAGCTTGTCTTTTGTGCACGTCTTGTCGGGAAAGGATGACCAGTTCAAGTATGCTTGAACCAAACAGCAAGTGTCGCAAAATTTGCGATGTCCGACCATAGCGCTGCCAAAGTCGCCAAATTGGACGTTGACCCTGAGGCCACACTCTGGCTTCATCATGAGATTCTTGATCGCATCATCAGGGATGATGTCTCCAGGTAACATGAAGATTGGATCAGTTTTGCTGCGAAAGACAAACGTCTGGTTCATCATGTCTGTGTCGCACTGCATAACCCGTGCTTTTCCACGTATCTTGGGAATCCAGGCGTGGTGATGATTTTGCTCAGAGCCAGTGATCCATTGAAGGAATGCAATTCCTTTCATGTAGCTCTTAAAAGATCCCGGTACGCGATGATCTGCTAGCTCAACCGTATGTTCTGACTGAACATACATGTATCGCCAATTTCCTGAACCGACAGGATACTCCCATTCAATGCGGACGGCCCAGGAATTCGCTTGTTCCCAGTTTTTGAAGCGACCAATCTTTGGGAGTCGCGCCCATGCATGAGGATGCGCCGAACCGTTTTTTTCTAACTTCGATAGTTAGTTCGTAAGGCGATTTGGCAGCAGGTTCGTCCAATCCAGATCTTTTCGTCCTTGACACAGGGGAGTAGATGGTCATGAACGGCTTCCATTTGCGATTCTCGACGATCATTGTTCTGATGGCAGGTGACTTGACCGTTGGTCCTGTCATTACTTGGCGATCAGCACGTCGGTAAATGGCCGTGGGTACAATGGAATCTCCTTCCTTGACATCGACGTCTTCGCGTATAAGAGGAATTTCTCGCTCATCCTTCCATACTCGAAAATTGGAGAGCTGCAGTTTGCTTCGTACTGAATGCCACATGAGCCAGCCCCGCGTTGAAGCATTCCCTGCCATCTAGTAATGCGAAATACTTCGTTGGACATGTCGATCAAGTACTTGGCAGGCTCCAGGAAACCCAACAGAGACATGTCTTGGCTCTCTTGATTCAGTAACTCTGGTCGATACGTTCCCAGCATGCAAATGAACATTTGATCGACAAGAAAGTACAACCCGTACATGATCCTCCAAAGCACGGTATGGTGCAAGGAGGCGATGTCCGAGACGATCACATCTACCGGTTGCGTAGATACGGCCCTATGCCTCCGAATTGGCTTGACGACGGAGTCGCTAGGCAGAAACAAAGAGGGTCATGGATATACATGATGTACTATAGGAATGATTCCGCTCCTGGTCAAAGGAATGGACAGCCCGAACACCCACTCTCTCCGGAGGGACTCAGGAAGAACGTAAATCCTGTCATACACATATGTTCTGTATTCGAACTAATGAGCTTGCTACAATTTGAGTCTTTGGTCTACTCATCATCGCCACCATACTTCGCAATAAGACTTTTCATGATTCCTACTGCCCCACTGCGGTAACTTGCCCCAAACATCGCATAGTGGTTGAGGTGATGATACAGCTCATACAGTTGCACACGATCTTCATACTCGCTTACTGGCTCCGTTTTAGGACATAATTGATGGTATTCCTTCATGAAGCTGCCGCCAAAGCCGCCAAACATTCTCATGATGCCAAGCTCGAACTCACTGTGAGCATAGCAGGCCGATGAATCATAGATCACGTCTTCCACCTCTCCTTTATCGCTACCAATCATGCCCACGCTCGCGTTTCCGCTCCACAGATCCCCGTGAACAACCACGGGCGTTACTCGCTGGCCATTGTTCAGGTGGTCGTCGCCAATCAAACGAGGGACGACTCTGGCTGCAGTCTGCTCGACAAGCTTTCGCAGGTCATTGTCTTTTCTGCCGCGCTGCTCTGCATGTCGGATAATGAACATGAGGCGATTTTCGGCATAGAAATCTGCCCAGCTATCTTTGTAGCTGTTTTCCTGTGGAGTCTCACCACAGCATGTTGTGACAGGAAAACCAAACATGGGCATGTCGTGTCCATCTGGTATAGGGGCGGGTGTCGTGTGCAATTGCGCAAGCTTAGCTGCTAGTGATGTCGTCTTGGACGATCGGGATGCCGAAGAAGAGTTGAGATGGAGGAACTCAGTCACTAGAAACCATTTGGAAGGTTGCGCTTCGAACTGTCCGTAACCGAAAGACTGCGGACAAAGCGTAGGAACCACTTTGTGGATGGCCTTTAGAGACGCGTCTTCACCTTTTCGGGGTGCTGTCAGTCTACTTATTGACCAGCCTACAACCGCCATATGGGCCGCACACACCTGCAAACATAACTTCAGCCGCCTTTCCACTTCCCGTCTTCATGAAATATGCCTTTTCTGATCCATCGTCGAGCCGGGATACTATCTTGGATGTGGACGCAAAGCTGCTGCCCCCAACAGACGAAACCGTAGTCTTATCGGAGCTCAAGCCAAGAAGTTTGACAACTGCTGGATCGACCTTCATTATGGATGTGTTTTACTGAAGGGGATGGCGCGAGTTTGAACGTATCTCAGTGTGGGTATTAGAAGTTGGGATGTGGGGCCCTGAGTGACGTCAGCTACATTTCAATGCGATTAATGGGGTAACGTAGCTCATGGTTGAGCGGCCAAAGTGTGCATCGCTTGAAGCGCCAACCCTTTCTATATCCATTTCCAAAGTATCCCACTGTAAACATGTATACTCACGGCGCAAATATTAGTGTCTTGGTAGAGGCAAATTATATATACTAACTATATAGAAATAGAGAGTAGAGCTGTAAAGAAAGAGAAAGTGTCTAGAGTCTTGAAGAACACTAATGGCTCTTCGCGCTATTACTCGCTGTTTGCTCTGGTCATCTAGCCATGTGCTATGTGAACCCAAGATCCCTGACCGTAACCACGTGTAGCTCAAGCGGTGAAGCAGCCTAGTTGTCACATGTGTAGACCCAGAGACTGTTGCCTCGTTTGCCCTCAATATTGGCTCATGCTATTGTCTTCAATAGGTCGGGGACTGTTCGTTCAAGCAACTTCTGCCAAGAACCTGTTTCGCTAGATTTCCAACGCTTCTCGGTATTATTGGCTAATACATAACACGAGGAAGAGCCTAGAACTCTCCCAGATAATGTATAAGGGTATCTAAACGTTATAAAGGTAATGGAATATTAGTGGCACACGCATTGATGCAGGCCGTTGTATCAAGCGCTACAGTAGTCTTCACTCTGGTTGCAAACACTACCGAAAGCGTGCCAACGTGAAAGTGAATGACGAAAATAGCGAATTGGGCGGCAGGCAGCCAAAGATAGGTCACGGGAGGCTACAAGAAATGCCTTATTTGCGTTTGTAGTGACCTAATAACTTAAACATCTTCACGTGCGCATCTTCCATAATTGTTCCACTAGATATAGAGAGCATCAAGCTCTTTCTCTGCAACTTTCTCTGCACTCATCATCATTTCAGAGGTATACAATCATTACTTCCCCTACATATTTCCCGCTATACACATTGGACTGCACTTGGAAATATATCTTTCTCAAACACTATAAGATGGTCTCAAACTGCGACACTGCAAATATAGACTGCTCCTCTCTCTTCATTTCTCGTTGAAACGCTCCGTAATTTGTGGAAATATCTTTTGAGGCGTGACGTGAGTTACTTCTTTCTCTTTGATGAATGATCGTTCACTGACCCTGTTTCGCAGATCGATGAGTCTCACCATAGCCAAGTTAAGCTACGCAACGATACCAGACACGCTCAAAGTACGGACCCACCGAGCCGATCGAATTCCGTCATTTCATGGCTTGCCTCAAGTCCTAGGCGCAATATACGGGTCCATGTCTCTCTCGGTACATACTTGGAAAAACAGCAGCAAGAACCCGGAATATACACATGCCGAGTCAAGATAGATTTCGGAACAACCGATGGGGTCCCATACAAAAAAGGGATGCAGAGTCAACTTCTAGAGCTAAAAGAGACAAAGGGAATAGCCAAGGTGTTTATCTGAGGAGTTACTGAAAGAGCAGGTTTTACCAACTGCTGGGTCACAATATAGTTCATGGAAAGGCACCCTTCAGGCCTAACAATATAATCGCATGTTTCAACAGAAACGGTATTGCAACACTCCCAAGAGCCACCCGGCCAGGGCGGCAGCGTAAAGGCGAACCTTTGGTGGCAGCTGATAGGAGTTGTGCACATTCTGAAGAAAAGGCTAGAAGCGTTGGAAAAGCGACTTCGGCAATACGAAGAGCTGAAAGACGCAGGACATCCCAATGCCATGCAGGCATCTCGGGATGATGTCGATCACAGCATCATCCTCGCCGATGAAGTTGGTATCGGAAAGACAAACACTGCAGCCGCGTATCGACTCATGTTATCTGTCATGAAAGTTTATGTGCTTGGGTAGAAGAAGGCTGGTGGGTCTATTTGACGAGGGCAACAGTTGCCCTCACTTCACTCAATCACCGGTATCAAAGAAACTGGCCTTTATGAAATTCTTTCTTCTGGCCGACCATTCTCAGTTCGCGATTTATTTGCCCAAAGCCGATACCACCTCACGGATTTGTGGCCTTCTCGAGAAGTTGGATTATATCTTTGGGTTTCACAAGACCGGAAGCCAAGTAGGATGCCGCTGGGCATCCGCAATATACACTTGGAGAACAAACCATTTCACGATACGAAACAACACAAAAACTGCCATAGTAGCATGTGGTGATCTAATCCATAACTCTGCAATGCATAACACATAATGGTACTATATGTTCCTCCAGCTGCTGGGGGATGACGGACTATACTATCCGGAGGAAATATTTCCTGCAACGCGGAGTAGACTCATGCGGGACTCCATACGGCGCCAACTGCAGCTCACCGATATACCGAGTATGCAACAATACTTTATACGGTTTCTCTCCATATACAGACGTTACCGACATATGGAGTTGTGGAACCATCGTATCCATGGCTAGTTACTGGTGTTCTAATCGACCGGTAATGCTAGCAACCAAGTCAAGAAACATGTACATCCACGATAACCATTATTGCAAATAGCAAACGGAAGACACTAATAACCGTTCAACGTCCTGTTATCGATGGCGAAAAAGCACGGCTTCGGCGACCCTCGTAGTATATAGGACCGCTACCAAGTCCAGGTACAACCTTAGATTTATCCCCTATAGCATTAAAGTTGTCTTTGAGCTTCTCAACACTAGTTTCTCCGGGTCCGATATAGCGATTATTTCTGCCTATACTGCATAGGTAGCCACCTATCGATATACGCCGCACAACTTCATCAACTAGTGTCTACTAAAGGATAGGAGCAGTAATAAGTATCGTCTCAGCGCACAGCTAAACGAGATTGAGATCTTCACCATAGATAAGATGCAAAGGAGACCAGAAAGAAGCCCATATCCATTACAGCACCACGTCGAGCGATCTAGAATTCACTTCCGAGGCAACTCGCCAGCTTCTTGCTAATAGGCGCGGCTCCCAATAATCGAGCGATTTCCAAACTGAAGCCAAGCAAGTTCATGGGCTGCTCGCATCGAGTGGGAACATCTTGTCTGTTCGGAAAAATGGCGATTTATATATATTTAGTCAGGACATACATTTGAGCTGGCAGATCCTCGTGTACCAGGATCTCTCGGGAGGTATATAAAAGGATGATTTCCTATCAGGATCGTGTCTTGCAGACAGTGTGAAATGGCAATGGGGCCATATGCTATGGGAGTATACCCAGAAGAATTTCAAGAGCTCAGGGTTGAAGCTTGGCTCAAATGGTTGGGAAACGCATCGAGAAAGCCGAAAAGATGCTTCGTCTCTCTACTGTAGAGAAGGAGATGCACACGATGCACAATGAGAAGAGGCAGGACAAGTATTATGAAGGCAACAGCAAAAAGTAGTTGACAGAGCCCCTGTGGCGATTTTGGTGGTGCTCAGGTTGGACACGGCAGTTATTGCAAAACCTATTTTCTTTCCTGAAGCGTATTCTTCTGTAACATTTTGCGTAAGTAAGTATATTTCAGAAATATCAATCCAAAAATGACTTTTTGATTCAAATTCACAAGCATATGATGAGTCTTGATGGAGCAAGGCACAGTGATAAGCGGGCTATTGGTACTTTCGTATTTGAATACATTAATAATTATGCTGGCATCCTAGCTACAGCACCACACATGTTGGACTTCATTAAGCCGTATTTAATCCCCTTATATATATTCATGACCGGTCAACAAGCTCCCTTGTCCCTACAGAGGTCCCAAGGGTACCGGCACTGCCCATCAAACCCACGGCGCACATGACCTCCGAACGCCGTCAGTCGTTATCATCATTACTAGTACACTGTTGTGAGATAATTTGTCCCTCACAACTCTCTTTCCCTTGTAATCTCGGCCTGTTGACGTAGCTTGGGGGCGGTGGTGCTGCCTTGACTGCTTCCACTGGGATGCACACCCTGTTCCATATCAGCAGCCCAAAGGGCAGCACCGACAGTGTTGGTAAAGCAAAAGAAGATTCCGACAACGGGTACGAGCTCGAGAAGGACGGCAGGAACACCGAAGCTTGAAGATGTTAGTTGAATCTCTATCTAATCGTATCGGTCTACTCACCTGGTGTATGCAGCCTTGCGCTCCTCAATGAATCGCTCCTTCTCCTGCTTCTTCATCTGCTTGAGCTGGAAGTACCTGGCATGTGCGGTCGGACCAAACTTGCGTCCTTGGAGGATGACAAAGATAAAGGTACCAACAACGGGGATGAAGTTGAGCGGCAGGTACATGAAGTAGCGAATGATGGCCTTGGGGGTAAACTTTGCAAATGGCTTGCTGACTAACTTGCCTAGTTTTCCAATGGGATCACTTCCTGACTTGACCTGACGCTCGTTTGATACAAGTGCAGTTTGGTTTCGGCAGACCATTGTGCCATCAAAGGTGTCAATCAAGGCATCATCAATGAGAAAGTTCTTGCTCAAGACAGAGAATATGGTGGACGACTCGCTGAGAACAAGCAGAACAGTGGTGACAATGGCGAGAGGACCGTTGAAGAGGGTGAGAAGCGCAGCTTGTGGGACATAGGTGACAGCAAACATCATCACAGTCACGCCCAGACCGAGCGAGACGGTTGGGAGGAGCTTGGCAGCCAGAGGTTTCCATAGTGCTCGATGTGTGAAGAAGTAGGCGATGCCCTGACTTGGTGTTAATCTTGATAAGTGCTTTCGTGTTCCGAGTTCCGGATACAGACCTTGAAAGGATAGAGATAAGCGGCCGATCGGACAGCATCTGACGCCAGCTGCTTATACTGGTCAAAGTCTTCTTTTGCGACTTCCCTGACCTTGTCAGGGACTCTCAGTCTGGACTCGGACATGGTTGCGGTGGAGAAATCGGGGCGATTGGAGGAATTAGGGATTGTGCAAGGAAAATTGCGTCGTGATAGACATCAAGTCGCGTCGTCCAGCCATGGACGTGGTGGGGGAAGGTTTTGGTGTAGCTGGAACGACGTCATTATCACGTAGATGGATGGCCCAAGCTTCAGTTCCAACAACACGGGAAATTTTGCCAGCGGCCGTGTCCAACGGAAACGGATGAACAGGCACATGCTTTTGCTGTGAATTTCTGAGACGCGTTGCAAGTCCCACTTAATTGATATCATCGGTGGGTGGATTCGTCGAGGCAGAAGAGCATCAGGAAGATGGCGACATTGCAGGGTACGTCATTCACCCCCAGCTTTGACGTGTTACAGGGAACCCCCAGCAAAGTCCCTTGTGCCAGGTTAATCGCTGTCGCGCCCGCCTGGCCCGTGATGCTCATACGGATGGTAAACCAGAAAAATGCGCTGTCAAGACATTTGGCGGGCAAGACAATACGGTATACATGTCGATGCGGTGGCTTCTAGACCGTGGGCGCGGTACCCACTCTGGTTCTCGTGCCCTGTTTACGCGCAGCTGTGGCGGTGTATGCCGGGCTGGGTACCAGGGAACTGATGCAACATTAGATGAAAGCGGGAGTGGAGTTATGGCTAAGCTTTGCCCTACCCCACATTTCCATGCACCGAATTCGAACAATGACGCAGCCCAGGCCGCCTGCTAAGTCCCGCTACGATCAAACAGGCCAGGCCGGTGTAAAACCTTCCCTGGAGGGTCCAGTCGCAGGAGCCATGAGCCAACCTCCTGTGGCTGCGGGAGGCGTGGCACGGCAGCCGTAAATTAGACAAACGAGGGGAATATCACCAGATCAATGCCACTTGGAGACCCGCTTGACCAGGTTTCATTTCGCCCATCCAGGTTTCTTGCGGCGCTCGACACGCTTTGACGTGGGCATCCACAGTTTGCTGTGGCTGATCGCTCCACTGGCCATCGCCTCCTGGACATGTGTTCTTGATTGCCGTTTGTATCACGGACATAGACATGACGTATGGGAAGGCCTTGGGGGGTTCTTGCTGCTTCATCAGATACATATAAGAAGGCATCAGTCCCTTTGCTTTTCATCATCATCAACATCACAAACACAAACAACATCTCACAACAACAATCAACAACCTAATTCACACTTCCAATCATCTACTACTTTACATTACCCTCAGATCATACACACAACCGCAATCATGACAGGAATGATGGAGAAAGTCAAGGCCAAGGTCGATAATGTCATGCACAAGGACAAGACTCATGGTAAGTCACTTCAAGATTCACTTCTATCTTCTTTTGCTAACATTTCCCAGACGACCCCACCGGCCCTCACAGCTCACATACCGCCAACGCTGCTGACCCTACCGTGCACAACACCTCCACAACTCACACTGGCTCTACTGGCCTTACTGGCAACAGCCATAACACTCACGGCACCACAGGCTACAGTGACCCCACTGGCCCCCACGACTCTCACATGGCCAACAAGGCTGACCCAAGGGTCGACTCTGACCGTGTCGGCACTGCTGGCAACCTAGGATCCAACACCCACGCCACTCACGGAACCACTGGTACTCACGGAGTCACTGGTACTCACGGAGTCACTGGTACTCACGGAGTCACTGGTACTCACGGAGTCACTGGCACTCACGGAGTTACTGGCACCCACGGCTCAACTGGATACAGCGACCCTACTGGTCCTCACGACTCCCACATGGCCAACAAGGCCGACCCAAGGGTCGACTCTGACCGTGTCGGTACCGCCGGCAACCTGGGATCCAACACCCACGCCACTCACGGAACCACTGGTACTCACGGAGTTACCGGCACCCATGGTGTCACTGGCACTCACGGAGTTACTGGCACCCACGGCTCAACTGGATACAGCGACCCTACTGGTCCTCACGACTCCCGCATGGCCAACAAGGCTGACCCAAGGGTCGACTCTGACCGTGTCGGTACTGCTGGCAACATGGGAACTGGCAGCCACACAACCGGCAGCCATGGACTTACTGGCACCCACGGAACCACTGGCACTCACGGAGTGACTGGAACCCACGGTTCATCCGGATACAGCGACCCTACTGGTCCTCACGACTCCCACATGGCCAACAAGCTTGACCCCAGGGTCGACTCTGACCGTGTTGGCCCCGCTGGCAACAAGGGAAGTGCCGCCTATGGAACCAGCACCGGCACTGGCAACTTGGCTCACCGCGACAACGAGACTGGTGACCTGCCCAAGGCCCTTGTAGAGCCCTACTCCCAGGCTGAGCCTCACTCCTCCCTCCAGAATGGCCATCACACCACCGGTACCCACGGTACCACTGGCCTCCACGGCACCAACGGAACTCACGGTAGCAATGGTCTTCACAGCACCACCGGTACTACTGGTACCCACGGCACCCACGGTACCCACGGTACCACTGACGTCCACGGCAAGCCATCCATGATGGACAAGCTGAGTAAGTAGCCTCTGGCATTGCATTCAAGACATCCATATACTAACGTCTTCTAGACCCCAAGAAAGACGCTGACTTCGATGGAAAGGCCGGAATAATGGACTAAATACAGTCTCGTCTCCTGTATACATGTAAGATTGTAGACAAGAGGGTCCCATTGAGCGACGGGTCACCTCCAGACATGGTTTCATGACATGACTTTCACGAATACCCCCTATATTACCTTAAAACCAGCTGTATAAATAGCTTGAATCAATCGTAATATTACTATCCATTGCTTTTTGCTCGAATCATCTAGCCTATCAGTGACGCATTGCCTATATGTTAAATGATATCATCCTTCAACAACAACAACAATATCCTTGGCCTCCGCCATCTTCACCATCTCCGCCCTATCCTCCGCACTCAAACTACTCGTCTTAGCCGCCTCCTTCCACTTTTCCACCTGCCCATACTGCTCCTCCCCCATCTTCCCCTTCAACAGCTTCAACAGCTTTGGCGCAAACTTCCCCGTAGCATACACAACGCCATCGTAGTGCCGCGCGAACAAGACAATTACCAGCATCAAAAACAGCACGGGTCCATCCGACGCTTTTTGCTTCTGTAACCGCCTCAACATGTCGTCTAGCATACTTTGTTTTGCAACTTCCAGACTCGCCTCCGACGGTGCAGGAATACCTTGCTTCTTTGCAAATTTCTCCAGCGCAGATGTGATGCCGCTGATGTCCATTGTCTTTGCCGTATCAAGGATACTAGAAAATCGAGCAATGTTCTTGCGCGTCTTGCGACTTAGTACGAGTCCCTGTGCGCGTGCTTTGGCGATCGTGTCCGGGATGAGGTCTTTGTGTGCGTAGGTAGCGAGTAAGTCAGCGAGTTGGTCGTGTAGTTTTTGGTCAGATATATGGCCCAGACCTGTCCTGTAGACTTGGAAGCGCGCGAGGATGCGGTCGGTCCAGTAGGTTGCAAAGTCTGCTTCGTTTGGTGTCTCGAGAGATGTGAGGGTCTGAAGGAAGGTTTCTTCGAGGAGTTTCTCCACAGGCTTTTCGTCGGCGAGGAAGCGCTGGACGAGACATAGTTTCGGTATCGAGGCTCGGACTCTGTCGCGGTTGAATTTTATGTCGTCGGTTCTTGTGGGGTCGGCGCGGAGAAGCTGCCATTGGGATTCTGCGTCTGCTTTTGCGTATTCCGATAGCTCATCCAGTGCGCAGGTTCGCCGGGCTTCGGTGAGGATCAAGTGACCAACGCGGACGATTCTTTCTTCTTGAGGTCTTTCGGAGAATGCGTTGACGACAGAATCTTTGACTTTGGCGACTATCGGATCTATGATAGCTGCAGGCAGACATGGGCCAATTAATTGTGCGACATCCAATGTAGAGCCTTCTTGGGCGAGTATCCGTATGGAGTTTTGCTCAATCTGCGCTATCCATGGCTTTGACACAGCAAAAGAGTCCAGTACATCTACTTCTTCAATGTCCTTGAAGTAAGATACTGCGTCTTCATAGGTTGGGACTAGCTCTGAGTACTCTGCGGCAAACTGTTTTAGATCCAAGCACTCCAGCGTACCGCTTTTCAATTCCTCGACTGTTGCGTTGCGTTTTGATTCTACAAGTTGCTTGGGTGTGCAGACTACACGGTTGGGGTCTTGCTCGATAGTAACTTGGGATGTGAGGTTTTCGGACTCTAGTGCCTTTTCTAAAGTCCGGAATATGAACCATGCCGGTGGACTGCCAGGTAAATCTTCTGGCAAGATGGTGATGGTTCTTTGAAGTGTCAATGGCCTAGCCTCTGGCGATGAAAGTTTTACTTACTGTAGTTCATTGAGTGCCTGCTTGACTCGACTAGTAATATCTCTGGAAATATCTTCCTGGTAAGCCCCTGTACATACAAAACCATCTATGTTTACAATATCGTGGGTTTGGTCTGCAAGTAAGGCGTCAAGACTTTTGGGCCATATGTCATGTTGGGAAACCAAATCGGTCTTGGAGTGCACTCCTGAAGAGAGCAAATCGGCAAGTTTTTGCTGTAACGCATCTCGCTCATCAGCGGGAATGACCTTTTCTTGATCTGCGCTTAAGAGGCACAGTTTTGGATGGCTCCGCGCAAGTTGGTGTACAAGAGTTGTGCTTATATCCAGATCGCTAGCCAATTCAAATATTGGAATTCGTTCCGTCTCTGCAAACGAAATCAGTGAAATTCCTCAACTAAAAACTTAAAAATTCACCTCTTGTTACACGACTTCGAAACTGTGCCTGGGCAAACTGAAGAGTAACGAAACCATTACCGCTGGAGGCTAGGGCAAATTGTGGTATAAACTCTGCGCTAGTCTGCGGGGGAAAGAGGGAAAAAATGCTCTTCACATCGTTTTCAGTGAACATGCTGACTCCACAGATAAGACTAAGATTTCCAAGTTTCTGGGGCAGTGCCTCTATGTTTTCAGGATCTTGCGTATAGGAATGCGCCGCTTTTTTGTCTAATGCGACAAAGAATGAGTGCAATTGAAGAGTTTGTCCTGGTGCGGTAATGCTGCGGACTGGCGCGGAAGAGGCAAATCTATGTAGGAATGAAAAAGACTGGATTTGCAGTAGTTTTGAAGGATTAGTAAGTTGAACCAAGTGTTTGTCCTGTGATTCGACTTCTAGAAGGTGAATGATGGAGGGCGGAGGCAGCGTGACGCTGATTGGTGCAAAACAAGCGGCGCCCGGATGAACATCGGAATTTGGGCGCAACCTCATCGTCGGCCCATTGACTTTGATAGTGACGACAAGACCACCCACCGCCGTCATGTCTCAATTCCGCGCGGCCAAGCTCGACATTGGCTGTTTTACGAAGATCCGCAACATTCGTGACCACACGAAGCGCAAGGTGTACTCTGAGAATGAGCCAGAGCGGTGCGCATAACCACCTCTCCAAATATCTTCCACGACTGATGGCAGTATAGACAAGCACTCCGCTACATAATCCGCAATACTACGCTCCCGCAACGAGTCCGCGCGCAGGCCCAGCTTCAATTGTCGGAAATGCACTGCTACACACGCTTCACACAGATCAAGAACCGATGTATAATGGGAGGCAAAGGCCGTGGTGTTTTCAGTGACTTTAGGCTCGGAAGGGTACGTAGACGGTGCAGTCAACGTTAGGCCTCAAGTTAACATTTCGGCAGTATCAATTCCGTGTCAATGCGCTCGCGGGGAATCTACCAGGTGTGAAGAAAGCAAGCTGGTAGAGAGGATGTGTGGGAACATGTATAATATTATGACAAGGCAATCGGACATTGGGTGGTGTACTTGCGTATAAGGCACCCGGGCTATGAAAATGGTTTTCTGGTTCAAAGTCGGCACGTAACTGATTGCTCTCTCTCTCTCTTTCTCACCTCACGTGCTAGTCGGGTTGCTCATTTCACTGTTTGCTCTTGCCGTATTTAGCAGATACAAACCGCTACAGGCCACCAACAGTAAGGCCTTTCCAACAGTTCAGCTATCCTGTTCCTCCTCAGATCGCTCCAACTCATCTGCAATCTCATCTATTGCCAAGAAGCAGTATCAACATGTTTCGGCGTGTAGAAAACACCATGAAGGCGGATCCGTCGTTCCCTGCCGACCTCAAGCAACTTGGCTTCTTTATCAACGACACAGGTCATATACGCATGATCGATGCACCAGATAAGGCTCATACCTACAATGCCACCAACAACGAGCGTGTCAACGAGCTCCGCTGTGAGGCTATGCACGGTAAGTTCGATGGCAGACATGACTTGGAGTATATCTGACATACCACAGCTTGCCAGCGAAGGGAAGTCGAAGCACGACTATCTCGCCTGGGAATCAACCGCATCTATCTTCCACAGTACACTCTAGAGAAGCCCAACGGACCGAGCATACCTATCCTTGCTCCTGATCCTGAGACGCTAAAGACACGCAAGCAAATCATTGTACTCATCAACGACACTCAACAAGACCTAGGCATCTTATCATACTCACAACTATCTCGAGACCTCGGTATCAACGGCGGATCTGTCATCAACTTCGCCAAGCAGATGATCAAGCGCTCCTGTGCAAACAACACTGACGAACAAACCGCCACCATCTTCAAAGACAACTACGAGCTCGAAGACAAAAGCACCGCACCCAGCCTGCTCATCCTAAACACATCCCAACTCCTCTACTCCCACAAACACAAGCAAGCCATGACTCTCCGCAGCTGGTCCGCCATGCCACGCAAATCCATCGCCCACGACATGATCCGCATCCACTCTTCCAACTCCCTCGCGGGCCACCTCACCCCAAAAGACCACATCAAAACCATCTTCGACGAGCTCCTGTACAACCCATCTCGCATCGCCGCCGACGCCGAACTCTGCATCATCGGAATAGAAAATAGCACCGAGGCCCTCCTCTCCATCCTCGCCGAAGATTGTAAGTAAACACACACACACCCCGATTATCCCCCCCCCCCCCCTTTCTCATATTAACAATTGTCATGTGTCAGTTGAAAAATACAGCCCCCGTATCACGGCCATAGCCCTCCTCCACTGCACCCTCGACGCCTCGCAAATCACACATGCAGGCCTCCGCACTTTCCTGCATCAGCGCGCGCGCCAGTGGCGATTCAACGATGCCACGACTAACCCGCTGCACTGCACTGATATGCCCAAACTGCACCACGGTCACGCTGTCGGGGAAAACGATGAGATAGAGGTAGGACGGGCTTCTGGCACTCAAGTCCCGTGTCCTACGTTCGCGGGCGGTGATGGTGCGCTGGGGGAAGATGTGTTTATTGATGCTGCGGTGCAAGATGCGGTGCTAGCTTTCTTTGAAGAGGCAAGAAACCGAGGTGCGGTTTTGGGTGAGAAGATGAGTGAGGGTCGTGGTTGGAAGCCACAGGTTGAAGGGCCGCAGGTGGCTTTTGCGGGGACGATGGTGGATAGTGAGTTACTCAAGGCGGCGGGATTGATGGAGTGAGAGACCAAGTAAGGATGGGATGGATCTTTTCTTTTGTTTGCAAATATGGGATGTGGATGGAGGGTGCTTAGGTATAGTGAATTGGTCATGCAGGCCATTTACTTCATTTCTGTACATGAGTGGTTTTGCTTTATCTGATCTTTGCTCACTGTGAAAGGTTATGGTGCTTATTTGTGTAATGAAAAAAAAGTATTCGAATTCGTAAAAATCCCCCGTGATGCTTGAGAGAAGAAGGACGTATTTGAGCATTACGAATCAATAATCATAACTTTGCATAATCAGACATCGTGGAGTTCAGTCCCGCTTATCGTTGTCTTCGGGCCTATGCTCTGTACTCAACTGTACAAATACACATATTAGCTTGCGTTCACAAAGTCTCATCATTGAGATAAAAGACATACCTGATTCCCGTTGTAAAACTGCTGGGGCTCTCTGCCCCTTTGATCAGCCAGTGTGCGTACTCGAAAGCCTGGATTATTGGGAGTATCGTGCTGAGGTTCCTGGCTAGTTCTAGAACCCACGGTGTGACCACCACCAGGCCGGTGTTGCTGTTGCGAAGATGACGATGATGCACCTTGCGAGCCGTACCCTATAGCAGAACCAATTGTGTTGCTCACAAAGCCGACTGTCGAGGCCAGCAGCCCAAATGCGCCACCTACAAGGCCCGTAGCGGCTCCTACGACGCCGCCTTCTGCCCCCGAGTACGCCTCTGTGTATCCTTTTACTGGAACAAGGACTAGAGTCGCGCTGGGTGCAAGGTCAATGTCGCCTAATGATTGACTTTCGTCACCCGCCGAGAGCTCGCGGCTTGGCTGAGGTGCAAGGATGTGGCGAAAGTAGTAAGGAGGAAGCTGCTTGTGGTTGATGTTTGCATCGTCTTGAGAGAGCTTAGAAAACTCCAAATCTATCCATTTCCTCACTTCTTCCTGCAGTGTGGCTTCGCGTGGAAATGTCGAGCGTATCGTGCGCCCGTCGAATAACCGCACATTCAAATTGACGTGCTTTGCCCGTGACCCCCTTGAAGACGATGTTGTTGTGTGCGGTGGAGGCGATGTTTGAGCTTCCTTGTTTCGCTCCTTCTCCCGTTCTGCTTTTCTTGCTTCTGCTTCTGCCCTTCTTGCTGCCTTGTCTGCCTCTATTCGTGCCTTTACACGTGCCAATTCCTCTGCTTCTTCTTTCTTCTTCTTCCGTAAGGCATCGCGAGCTTCTTGCTGTGCTTTGTTTGTAGACGCAGACGAAGTGGATTTCGATGTCGACGCTGATGCCATCCTTTGCTTGCCTTTTGCGTTCGCTGACGGTGGGGGCGCAGCTGCGGGTTCAGCTTGTGTGGGTGTGTAGGGTTCTTCGGGCCCGTACAAATCGTCCTCAGCGGCTGCAGTGTTGTAACTACTGGATGAGTCTAGGGTACCGGCCTGTGGTGGTGACGTTGGTGCTGTATTGGAACCCGGAATGGGGTTGGCTCCGAGCACTCGTCTGATGGAGTTGATAAACTCATCCTTGGTGACGTGACTCTTGAGTTGTATTTGAAGTTGCCCGTTGTGTATAACGACAAAGGTGGGAATCTCTGAGAGATCGGAGAAGGCGGCGAGGAATCCAGCCTCGGTGGAGCCTGCTTCAAGTCGCAAGACAACAGCCTTTTGAGCGAGGAGGCTGGAAAGCTGGGCAAGTGGTCAACACGTGCATGTCAGAGTACGCCGGGAAATACCCAAGCCAGGCAACTTACCCATCCACTGGTCAGCCACTCTTCTTCCCATTCCTTGCTCGTGGCTCCGTCGTCTGTTCAGGTGGTTAGTGTGATCTCCACATCCCGAGTGGACAGAGTTTCCTCAAATACCTCGCACAAAGCAAGCGACGAGCTTTTGTTCCTTGATGGCAAGGGCAATACCGCTCTGTAAAGTTCCTTCATGGAACATGATTGCAAGAGGGTGTAGGCAGAGGGGCGGGTGTTTGCGGGGAAAGCTAGGGGAAGCGCGCTGGAACAAGGATGTGTGCCTGCGCCTCCAACCTCCAACATGGCCGGTACCGAGGCCAAACGGTCGCGTACATGTCTTCACATGATTCATCACAAAACAGGCTTCTGTAGAAATATTTTTGGCAAAGTTCAAAAAAGGAAAGCTCATGCAATAAACTGATCTACTGGAAATGCTAAACCCAGTTCCTGTGAATCCTCCACGCCCAAGAAGAGTAATGCAGCAGAAAAAGCCAATGCTAGACTCCTGATATTCAACTGCAGCGTATTAAAAGATGCTGCGAAGCAAATGCTATTCGTGCAGATGGACGCATATGCCGGCATGTCGGTCGCCTCCTTGTTCGCCAGTGACGTCTCCAAAAGCGATGTCCACCCTGTCTCCTGTGTTTGGTATCCAGATGATATCACTCCCATACGTTAATCCTCAAGTAAGTTGTAGAGATGATCTACGAGCATATTCAATCTTCTGATCTTTGTGCAATTACGCCAAAACATGTCTCGGCTTGACGCTCCACTCCGCCTCTTTATAGAATGGTGCACTTCTTCTTGTTCTTTGCCGCCGACGGTGGGGCACGGGGACTGAGGACGGCACTAGGGAAAAAAAGTTAGCGGTGAGGCGTGGGCAAGGGGATGGGGTAAAAACGCACCGGATCGCCTCGTCAAAAACACTCTTGAGGTTGCGCTGTGTGAGCGCAGAGCATTCCAGGTACTTTTGCGCCTTGATTTCCTTTGCGACCATGACGGCCTGCTCATATTGGATGGGCGCCATCTTCTTCTGCCTTAGCGACTCCTTTGTGGCCTCGTCGTCCCGCAAATCAAGCTTTGTGCCGACGAGGATGATTGGTACGCCAGGCGCGTGATGGTCAATTTCGGGGTACCACTGACGTCAAGTTAGCAACAAGCGCGACAGCTGGGATAATGATAAATTTTGATGATGGAGTCAGCTGTGCCTTACCTTTGCCTTTACGTTGTCGAATGAGGGAGGGCTGACGATGGAGAAGCAGATGAGGAAGACGTCGGTCTGAGGGTAGGAGAGCGGCCGCAGCCTGTCGTAATCCTCCTGTCCGGCGGTATCCCACAGTCCCAAGCTTATTGGCTTTCCATCCACCATGACATTTGCAGAATAATTATCAAAACTAGGCGGGTTAGCTCATGGAAGCGTGGAGGAGGGCGGAGGGCAAACGTACACTGTAGGAATGTACTCGCCGGGGAAGGCGTTGGTCGTGTACGAGATGAGAAGACATGTCTGGGACAGGCAATCAGCATGCGGCCTCAGCGATGGACGACGAAGGGGGCAGAGTTTCTTACTTTGCCAACAGCACCGTCGCCTGTGACGACGCACTTGAGGGATTGGGTTGCAGGTGCAGCCATGGTGTGGGTTGCAGGTGCAGGTGCAGGTGCAGCGTCGTCTGATTAGAGTTGGTTACGACCCTGCTCGGCGGAGGCAATGGGGCGGGCTCGGGAGATGGAGAAGCGAAGGGCGGAGCTCAGAGACCCTGCAAGAAGATGGGTCAGGCGGTGTCGTGAGGCGCAGACTATGAGGGTGGGAGAGTATATGGGTGTGTGGTGTAGTGTAGTGTGGTGTGGAAGAGAGAAGGACGCACCGTTGGGACAGGTCGACAACGTGTGGGTAGCTTCTGGTTCTGGCGGAAGCTACTACCTGCAGCGTAGGGGGGAGGGGGGCGTTTTATCGCTTGGCGGCGGCGGGTCAAGAAGCGAGCAAGCAAGCTTGAGAAAGCTGGACTGGAGTGGATGGGCGAATGCAAATGCAGGCTGCGCGAGTCGAAGCAGCGCGGGCCACTGACGGGGACACTGGCGGGCGGGGTCCGAGTCGTGGAATAGCGGCAATTGCGCAGCTGAGGGTGTGCAGGGCGGCAGGCGGTTAGTGGGAGTGGTGATGATGGCAGGTTTAGTAGTGGCGATGTGTGGGCTTATGGCAAAGGGGGGAGAGAGGCAGACAGTGAGAGAGAAGAGGCGTGTGCCGGTGTAATAGCGTAGATTTGCGGCGTAGGAGCGGCGGCGTCGTGGGCCAAAAGGGCAGCAGGCGCGTATCCTCTTGAAACCCATTTGCGACACAGCAGGCTCACCACGCCTCTACCGCGTCCGATAGGCAGGGCGCACGGCTCGACCAAGGTCCCACCCGATGCAGATGCACGCTGCCCGGCGCTGGACTTGGACATGCACCCCTGTGGATGAGCCGGCCTGTCCTCGATTACCCGCAAGACGAGTGCCCCATGCAGTGTGGCATGCAGAATGCAGACATCCACACATGGACGCATGCACTCCGTCCCTGGAGCCTCCACCAAGCCCGGAGGCCGGAGGCGCGTGTCGGACCAGAGACTCGTTGATATTGCACATGCTGGCTGGCCGTGGTGTTGGTGTTGTTGTTCCTGCTTCTGCACACAAAACGCCCAGTCACGTGCAAGCCGGCCGACTAAGCCATACCACGGCCATGCTAAGATGCTAGGGCACAATCCTCCGCGCCCGACACACACGCCTTTCTCATGCCATCCGCCCTCGATGCACTTTCCCTCTACATCCATGGCACCACCACCGCCACTACTACTACTACTACCACTACTACTACTATCACCACACCAAATCTCACGTCAGGTCCTCCTCGCCACTCATGTCTTGGTGGTGTGCCATGGGGGGCATGCACATGTCAACCATAATCGCCGCCTGTCTGCCCTGTGATTCGCCAGTCGCCGCATATTTGTGCTTGCCAGTGCGCCCGTGCTGCTCTCTGATTTGCCCTCTGAACCTAAACACCGTGCGAACATCGCATTAGCACCTCCATCGCACCCGCGCCCCCGGCTTCGACTCGTAACCATGCACGTGTGGCCACAGAGGCCTGGTTTTAGCCACCGTCTCGAGACGTTCCTCCTGCATTCCGGCCCTGTCCTCGACTGCTTGTTTCTGATTTCGCCCCACGACACACTTGCCCCTCTTGTCCTCGCTCACATATCTATGCACGCCCTCCAAATCACTCCAAAGACATATATCAACGTCATGCAAGAAAAAAACAAGCCTCGCTGCACTGTCGCCATGCCGCGTGCACGGCTGCGAACCGTAGTCTTGGTCTTCAACGTTATCTATCCATGTACACGCGCCCAGCATTCATTGGGTATCAAGAGTTCAACATCGAATTCCCACTTCCATTAGTAGAAAAGAAACAGTCCATCGCCTCCCTGCTTGTCTTCCCCCACCAGCTCCTTCCGCAGCAGCAGCTTCATCAGCGCCTCATGCAGCTCCTTCATGTCCAGAATCCCACGCTTCTTTTGGTCAATATAAGACACATCCACCACCACTCGCTTCAGGTTGGCCGTGGAAAGTGCCCCATCCTCAAGCAATGCCACCAGTCGATCAGGCGTTCCAACTCCGTAGTCGATTCTACCCAACAAATTAGCTTGACTATTCCAAATTGCCAACCATGGTCCCACCTACTTGCTCTTCTTCAACTGCGATACCTGATCCGCCAGTTTGAGGTGCTTTGCAAATAGCTTTGCGACATTCGGCTTTTGAACTCCTTGTTTGGGCAGTCCCGCCTTCAGAGTCCGGCAGACATCGGCCGCTCGAATCCCAGACAAAGTCACCACAATCGTGTGTGGTGCTCCGGGCGGCTTGGAAGGCGTCGGTTGTAGCGCACCCGCCTGCTTCTTGAGAAAGGCTGGTAGATTATCCGTCGTTCGTGGTTCGCTCCAGCTCGTGCTATCTTGTACTGTGCGTGCTGCATCGTGTCAATACAGTCCTGACCAAACTATGCATTTTCCACACCTACCGGAAATGAACTTGTCCTCGAGCTCTACACTGCTCAAATCTTGTCCATATAGTCGTGTTCGCGCGTTGACGTAGTCTGCTAGTAGCTGGCCATCCATGCGCTCGAAAGCGTGGTTCACTCCCAACTGCTGGTCCAAATCATCTTCATCTATCGCCTTTGCTCTCTGCTTCTTCTTTTCCTTTCGCTTGGCTTTTTTGGCAGCTTTCTTGTCGTCCTTGGTTGCCTCAGGCTCGGCTTCTCTTTTCCTCTTTTTGGAAGAAGCGTCAACGTCAAACTGCGCCTCAATGAGGGGTATACCTCCTTCAGAATCTGACATGGCGGGGACTGTGTTTTGTGTGAAGAGCGCGACCAAGTTCGTGCAACAGAAAAAGTTACAGCGAGGATTAAGGTTATCGATAGCCTAACCAATACCGGACTAGCGCCGCTACGCGCCGCAAGGTCGCGCTCAAGCGACGCGTTTCCCTGACGTCTATCCACCATCCCACGCTCCCACGACGCAACCTCGGATGGTGCCGCCGCAATGGCAGAATCTGCGCGCAAGAAGCACCGCTTCTCACCAGATGCCCAAGTTCAGGACACGCCGAGCAACAATGCCACTCTACAACCCATAACCCCCTTCCGCCGTGCCATTAGCGCTGGCCCCACCCCAGGAAGCCGAAGAACACCACTCATAAGGACACCGGGAACTGGACGAACACCTAGAGGCGGACCGGCCACTCGTCCTCTTACTTCACGGCGCATTGCGCCGACCACGCCGCATGCGATACGGGCCCTAAGGGAAAGAGCCAATGCAGCTCGGACACCGGGCAACAACCGGAGAAGGAGTGGGCGTATCCAGAGGGAAACACCGCGTGATCTACTACGTGATCTGAGTAGAGGTAATTCTTTGAAACCAAATCCCTTCAACTCAGCTAAGTGATTATGTAGCGCTTGCTCGTACCAGTCGTCCAGTCGAGCCTTCCCCGCAGGTCCTGCCCCAACGCCCACGACACTCTGCCTTGGACCTGCCAGATGTTGAAGATGGCCCACCAATGGCTGCCCCGCGACTTTCCATGCCACTGGAGAACATGTATGACGACGATGACGACAGTTTCCATAGCGCCCCGCCACGGCAATCGCTACTACCAGACCTACCGGATGATGTGGATGGTGGGACTGTGCAATCCCTCGAGTTTGGAAGGCGAGCCATTAGTGAAGATCCGCGCTTGATGTACGGGGGGAGGCAAAGCGAAAGATTTGGAGATTTGAGTGAACTCGGCGCGGTAGAGGAAGAGTTTGAAGTAGATGGGACTTTCATCAACCGACGCACAGATGGGCTGTTTGACCAAAATATCGAGGAAGATCTAGACGGAGACGATACAACTATACAGGCACTGACTGGCCGAAGAGACGGGCGCACTAGCGATGCCAACCTGGGCATATTTGGCGAGGGAGACGATGACACAGAGGAGCCCACTTTCCGCTTCATGATACCCGATCGTATGCGTGCGCCACCCCGGCAACCTTTACCAGAAGAGCAAGAAGTTCAGGAAGACAATGTACCAGATAGCGAGCCTGTGGAGCTCCCAGACGACACAGAAATACAATACGACGAGGATCAAGACCCAACTGCGGCTTTGGAGGACGAATATCTTACCTTGGATCAAGACAATCTAGGATGGGAATCCGACCCTCCCGTAGATGATGATGCCGAGCTTGCAGCCTACCGAGAAGAGGAATCAGCAATCGACCGGAGTCTCCAGACACACTCACCCGAGCGACCTTCCGCGGAACAGTTAAAGGGGGTGCGGAAGGCCAAGGAATACATGGTTTCAGAGCACGGTATCGGCTTTCCTTCGTTCCCCGCGGCACCAGTCAAGAAACTTGCTCTCAGTTTCATGAAGTCACAAGGAAGCAAAGCTCACCTCAGCAAGGACACTCTTGACGCCCTTGTCCATACAACCAACGACTTTTTCGAGCAAATCAGCATTGATCTCGCAGCCTATGCACAGCACGGCGGACGGAGGATGATTGAAGAGAGCGACGTCATCGCACTTATGAAGAGGTATTGTTACATCTAGTCTGCTGTACAGTTTTGTACAAATATGCTCGTCCAAATTGCTAACCCTCACAAGAACCCGCAAAACGACCGACAGCAGTACATCGTTTTCGCTTGCACAAAAGATGCTCCCTCGGGAACTGGTCCAGCAGCTGCGCATGCAGCCCCCGGTCAAGCTTAAAAGCCAAAAGCGCAAGCGGCCAGAACCTGTACAAGAAGATGATGAAGAAGATTGAGGCGGCCTAGTCATGCCTTATGACCAGTCCACGCTCTGTCGTACCCGTCGCTGGGTGCCTGACATGGGCTTCTTGACGACCATCCAGAACATTACGGATGTCGCAAGACTCAATGCGTACCTGTTTCACGTAAGCATTGGTGCATGTATATGGAAATGGGATACGCACCATGTGAAGATGTACTGTGTATGATTGTTGCGCAGATTTACGGTTGGCGGCCTACCAATGGGTACGCCCTTTGGTTCGCGCTCATAATTTGTGAGCAAATCCGGCGCTGTGGTGAATAGTTAGATACCCCCAATAGCAATCATTTGAACAAGTTTTCAAGAGGCGCACTTACTCATTGTCTCCTCCACCCAGACTGGCTGACTACCGCTATACTCTGCCATTTCCTCCACACTCGGAAAAAACCATTTCCCCTTCTCTGGCTCATTCTTCGGTGTAAACATGTTTCCCTTTGGCGGCACCCTCAGCAACCCCTCAATCGTAACCTCTCCCTCTGGCAGCGCCCCGTTCTTCTTACGAAACCACTGCGGACTCGCTTCCTTCTTAATCCACCCCCTACACGCTAGTATCTTGTGCACATTGCCCCTCGCATCCCTGCGCTCCAACGGCGTAACAACCGTGTACCCCTCCTCGCCATCCAGCATGCGCGGCCCAATCAGCATTTCCTGGTCATGTCTTAGCACGCCCGTCGCATACACCTTTCTATAGTCGAAATCCTTGATGGCCTCCGGGTCGATTCGCAGCGGCAGTTCCAGCGGCGGGAACGTCAATCGATCTTCAAATCGCGCTATTAGATCTGTTTTCCAGCCCAGCCGTTGCACCTGCCAGCACCCGAGCACGAAGGCGGTTATGGGTATGATGGCGAGGATGATGAGGCCTGGTCCGTGTTGTTTGCCTGCGCGCGCCATTTTCGCCGGCCGATCAAGGATAGAGACGAAGTTTGGGTCGAGGCCGGGGCCGCCGCCTACATTGCGCTTTTGGGTGCGGAAGAGGAGGAATTGCGGGTGGAGGCGTGCGCGGAGGCATTGCGGGCTGGATTGTATTGGGCGGGTGGTTCGTGTGAGGGGGATTATCCTTTGCGAGTAGTATCTCCTGAAGAGATTTAAAAAGGGGTTTGGTTTCGACATTTTGGCGTCGGTGGTGGTGGGGGAAGAGGCGTAAACCTCGATGATGGGGAAAGTTGAGATGCGATTGAATTAGTACAGTCGGACATCCGAGCTCTCAATGCGGCATAGGTCCCCGCTCCACACTTCCCCATGTCAACAATCTCCACGACTACCCAGGCTTCATTCGTTTTCCAAGAACCACGACACTGAAGTTTCAACATCATGGCGGAAACCCAGGATATGCCTGTTCCCCGGGCGGATGAAGCAGTAGCGAAACGAGATAAAGATGATTTGCTGGATCATTTGGATGACCTGCTCGAGCGCTATCTGCACACATTGCACGAGTATCAGCAGGTGACGCAGCAACTTTTAAAGCAACTATCTAATGTATGTTCATTCTACAGAATACTGCCTTGAAAAGTGAAGGAGATTAACGTAGAATGTAGGGCTACATGTCCCTTGCTCAAGCAAACTTTCACAACTCGTCTTCTGCAATTCGATATGGACAGGACTGCTACGATGAACGCATGCAGGCTATACGAAAAGTGTATGTTCTTCCAAAAACCCAATGTCTAGGATTCATATCATGCAATCCCAGATAGTGTATGTCCTTGAAATACATGGATTATACTAACAACCAAAAGTCGCGTCTCGGAGGGGCAAACAAGTGACGTCCCACACTTTTCCGTCCACAAATCTGATCCTTCAGATGAGAACGTAGATGCTTCTGGTGATGCGTCCAAAAAGGAAGATGCCCAAGAATCAAAGGACGACTCAGAACATGTTACACCAACAGCACCAGAATCCAAGCAGGAAGAAGAGCCAAAAACGACATCAAAGACGGAAGAATCAAGCCCGGCATCAGAAGAGACTAAAGAAAAAACAAAGACTACGAAGAAATCCAATGATCCACTGAAATGGTTCGGCATTCTCGTTCCACCTGCTCTTCGAACAGCACAATCTGCATTCGTAAACGCAGTCGAGGCCCCGATTCCACAGCTAGCCACACTAGCCCGAGATATGCGAATGCAGGAGATTGAAATCGGACGTGTCAGAAAGCAAATCAAGAAGCTCTAGATATCTTTTCTCTGCTCAATCAACTAATTCAATTCAAACTCATAGAAAATTACATTTGCACACAATCCTCCTATTGCCACTTCAAACCTCTGTACCCGTGCTAAACCGAAGCTACCGTACTTCCCAGGAAGATAAAAAAAATAAAACGCCATTCCAATGCACCCCCCCTCTCCACCTCCACCATCCCAAGCTAAACCTCCTTCATAAGCTCCTCCAACTCATCATCATCATCCCAGCCTCCCCCCCTCCTCTCCACAACAATCTTCTGCTCCTCCTTCTCCTGCTGCTCCGCCACAGCCCCCAGAATCTCCTTGAGCTGCTCCTCCGTCACTTTGGAGCGCAGCTGGCCCGTCCGCGCCAGCATAATAAGCCGGTTCTCAATGTCTGTGGCGCGCGATTCTTTGACGAGTCGGATGCGGCCGAGGCGGTCTGCGGCTTCGGGGAGGAGGATTTGAGATAGAATTGAGGAGCGTTGGTCCGCTGTGTGCGTGGTGGGGTTAGTTAGTAAGAGGTTGGGTTGTTGGTGGGGGCAAGGGAGGATGTACCTTCTTGTTGTCTGTGGGGTGTAAAAGTTAGTATATATTGATTGGATATTGGGGGGTGGAGTAGAGGGGTATTTACTGTCGCGACTCTTGCTCTGAGCCTGAACCGCGGGCCCCGCCTTGCTGCTGCTGCAACTGCTGGAGGCGCGCGCGCCTGATTTGCTCGAGATCTTCGTCTGACATTTTTTTCTTCTTCGGTCGCTTTTGGTGTGCTTGATTGGGTTGCTTTGCGCAGAAGGAAAAGGAAGGGTGGGGGTAAACAAAGGTGCGGACTAAGGTTGTGGCGCGCACAGAAAGTGTGGTGGATGCGGGGAGGTTCGGGGGTCCGCAGGCTAACTGGTGGGTACGGGTCGCGGTTACACTACCACATAGGGTCGACTTTGAATCTAAGTACTATGGCGGAGGTCAAGTTGCTGGTTGATATCTTTAGTAAGATAAGGTATTGTAGAAACATAATAAGTTGTTATCTAAATAGAATATGTCCAAGGCACGTGACCAATTCTTCAGAGTGTAGTAAAGTTCCAGGAAAGTACAATTCCATCATTGTCAAGTATTAACTTATAGTATGGTAATTGCAAGTTGCTAAGATACTTCCGTATAGCAAGTAACATTGGAAGAAGTAGCTATAAAAAGTCACGATGCTTACATTTCGCTGATACCCTGTAGGTGAAATCTGCACGGTAGTAAGCCCGTTGATGTACCCCTATGACATACCAACGCGTCGCCCTTGTGGTTGAAGTAGCTCGGTGTGCAAGCGAACAAGACCGAGTACTACACCGCTCGACTGTCCCTTCATCTATCCAAGCATCCTCTACTTCTCTAGTCGGCTTGGCCACAAGCTGTGTAGGATCTGGAAGCCGATCCACGGCCTCTTTTAAGATATTGGCCATGTACTTGGATTTCAAGTCAAATATGATAGTGAGATTTAGTGAGCCCGGTCCGCCACCGAGACCAGGATAGAGAAGGCTGGGGAGAGAGGCCATTCGTAGCGATCCCACGCAGAATACCCATATTTGTCTTTGAGATGGCGGCCGCTACGGCCCGCAATAGGTATGCCAAAGAGCTCAGCAGGCGCTATGTTTCCCCCTAATGCCAGCAGGAAGCCCGTGGCAAGAACCAGCACGTTAAGCTCGTACTCCACCCCCTTAGCGATTACCCCCCACGATGTACACCGCTCGATGCCCTTGCTATCCGTGTTCACGAGCGTGACATGCGGCTGGTTGAAAGTAGGCAGGTACTCATCCTGAAAGGTGGGTCTCTTACACCACATGAGGCAAAACGGTTGTACGTACTTGGTTGCTCCACCGTGGCTGCATCCTCCACTACGGCCTCTCGTACCCGTGCCCACGTGTGCTCCGCCAGCGGCGTTTATAACTCATATAGAGTATGCGCGCGCTCTTTTACATCTTTTGAGTGTAACGTGACGCGGCCCCGCGATGAAGCCCAAAAAGCCGCGCGCCATCTTAGTCCAGCCATCGGCGACCAGATCGGGATGGTCTGCCGAGTATTCTTCACCGTTAAAGAGAGTATCGAAGCTGAGTTGGCGAGCAAGCTGCCAGACAGGGCCTTTTGCGACCTCGCTCACCCACTTGTCGTCATCTATGGCCTGCTGGCGACGCGCAATACGAGGGTGTGCGCTGGAATACGTACAAGGATTCGGCCCAGCATGCAACTTATGGCACGACTTGGACAGCTGTTGCCGCCGTACCCATGATGCCGACTCACTTGCCGTTGAGCTTTGAGAGAGTAGCGTCTGTCTGTGAGCCGCCAGTGCAGTCATAGTCTCAGCGCGCCGTGTGAAAGACGGGGATGTTCACGCGTAGCTCGTCGAAGCCATCGACATTAGGCATTCTCGGTGATGCGAAGAGGGTTCCAGTCGGAACCAGAAACGGGGTAAAGACGGCCATTTCCTCGCTGTTACCGTGCTTCTTGCACATTCAAACTGCCCACCAACGCCGGCCATCGTTGCATGTCACACCGAGTACACGTGTCGAAGATTGGCCGCCCAGTCCAAAGTGCGATGCCACGCGTTCCCAATGTCGACAGATCTCATCGCTTGACGAACACTTCTGTAGGGATTTGAAGCTTGTTTCCTCGGGGAAAGATATGCAAATGCAGCCCTCAACATCACATTGTAGGCCTGGATGCCGGTCCCGATACTTTGTACCACCGCAACTGCCGGCTATGTCCAAGTGGCATATTGGATTTTCTGAGGAGCCTACCTCTAACAACCTTTCTCCTGCGAGCAGCTTCGCATGCCCTGTAACAATGATAAGAAGCTAAATGTCGTCAGCGTCCTTGAGCCGGTCCGCTTCTTGCTGCTGGCCTTTGTGAATCTATAGGTCATGGGCGAATGGCCTTTCTTGTTTGATGAGTAAATGGCTGTGCTATTGCATGCTCTCATGGCGCTATCGCTTGTCGTGCTGCTACTTGTATCTGGCCTGGAGTTTGGCAGGATCAGTGATGGCCATCTTTGCTCTCCGTTTGTTCCTCTACCGATAGAGAATTTGGCCTGGAACAATATGGGAGCGGAGCAACGATTCGTGAAACCCTGTTACTGAAGTGATATAATTTGCCTCCATTCAATTGAAAATACGAGCTTTTTGTCATGCCGTTGCTTCCCACATTTTACATGCACTGGATCAGCTACCTCCTCTTTCTCGATCGCTTTTTCCCTCCCTTCATCCGAATTGGCTCCCCAAATTACCAATCAATCCCTACATGATTTTGAGATGATGAGTTGTCGGACCCTGGGGTTGCGAAAAGAATGAGCTGTGATTCATGTGGAGGTGTGGGGTGGAAGTGCGGTAGATTTGATGACCATCACGTGATCCCACAAATTTGTGAGCCCAACGTCTCATCGCCAAACATACATGCTCACGGCGATCTTGAATAAAATGTGCCTGAGAGTACTACCCTTGCCAACGTACAGAGCATTCATTGTGATGGTTAGGAAGATGACACGATGCAAAAAGAGAGCACCCACGTGACAAGCTTTTGGGCACGCGCAGGTACCCATATCTTTTCATGAGTCCCAGGATCAACAAGTATCATTCACTTCAATAAAATGGGCTTGCGTACTGAAAACCTATAATCATCTGTTACTTTATGCGTTGCAGTTGATTTTATTAGATATTAGATGTATATCCGCAAGTGCAACTTCGAAACTCTAACACATTCTTGACGTCGCAAACTACTGGAGACAATGAATGAATTCTACTTCGTTAGATGCTCAATTGAAGTTCAGAATTATTCAATAGAGCTGATTCTTAGTCAAGTATAACTTAGGTTCCCCCAGTCTCTGTCCTGCTCTCCATTACAGCTATAGCTACGAATGTTTAGAATGAAGACATCTCTAATTCATCACTGTATCATCAGCTAAAACATTGTCCCTGAATTTACCTTGTCTAAGTATCCTATCCTTACCCAGGAAAGGTTCATCGTGTTAGCCTGTGGTGCTTTCCCTTATCTAAGTGCTCGTTCCAACACATAATCAAGAATGTGAACAATACCATCGTTATTGAGATCAAGCCGTAACCTTTTAAATCATCCACTAAAAGTGAATTATCAAGGCGGGTAGTGAATCTTGATCGCTCTCGGCGGAGCCGCAATTGGATATCTCCTTTGCACTATTGGGTGAAGAGCATTGGTCTCTTGGGTTACAGTCTTCAAACATGTCCAGCAGCAGCTAGTGAAAAATATTTGAATCATCGGTGGTCAATGTCATTACACAAGGCTAGGTGTTGCTAAACAGTCTTTGAAGGGTATATCTGCCCATCGAAGATGAATTGTGACAATAGTTTTGAGAGCTTAAATGTATTCAGCCCTTCTCGCAACTTTTCTCGTATGAACACACGTACTTGTTGCAATGATGAAAAGTGCTGTGTAGCGATAGAACCGCGACGTTCCTCAATAACGATGAATACCTAGCCGGCCGCAAATCTACTCAAACTTCTCAGCTTCTCACCAAACTTCCACAGCATAAATGGCGCCGGGACACCTAGTCCTATTGCAATGAAGCCAAGTACACTGTTCCCCCATCCAAATTCTAGCGACTTATACATAGCTGGTGCGAATAACGGGAAGCCAAATCCGGCCAGACTCCTTAAGACTGTCGCTGCAGCAATGGCACTCGCTGCATACCGCGTGTAAGAGTCAATTAAATATCCATTGACACATTGAAACGCCATCACCATGCCCGCAGAAAAGATCGCAGCGCCAAAATTAGGCATGATCCAATGCATGCGGGCTTGCGCGCTCCATCCGTACCAGAAGAGACCTACAGGGATCAAAAGCGATGCAGGTATCAACATAGGGACGCGAAATTCAGGCCTTGCGATGCCGTTATTGCGGAACTTCAGACGGCAATACAGCGCGTCGATAAGAGGTGAAGTAAGTTGTGTACCGACAAAGAATCCAATACCTATGGAGAGATAGTTCAAAGATCCGGAGCTGATAGACATGCCATAACGATCAACCCATAAGATGGGGAAGGTGGAAAGCATGAGGTACATCAGCCCGAAGAGATAGGCCGTGTAGCATGCTAGTACTTGGACTATGGGTTGCGTGCCTAGCAGCTTGAATGGCCTCTTCAACGCCGTTTGGATCACTGTTACAACAGTGCGATCACAATTGTCGAATACAGTGTGAAGTTCTTGGTTACCAGTTTCTTTGCGTAGCTGATCTCGCTTCAACTCGAGAAGCCTAGGCGCATAGGTTTCTTGGAGGAAGAAAAATCCACAAAATTGCACCAATGCGGCGAAGATTGTTGTTGCGTGGAAACACCATCGCCCTGAGTCCATAAGCATACGTGAATCAATTGAATCAAATCTACGCAGAGACTGACATGAAGTGTTCTGGGAGATGAAGCCACCAAGAATAGGTCCAATGGCTGGTCCGAGCAGTGGCCCCAGCGAATATATTGATACTGCTCGTCCACGCTGTTCAGGAAGGAAGCAATCGCTTAACATACCCTAAAACCTGGTTAGACATTCATGCTGCGGGGAAACTCCTCAGGAATCACACTTACCCCACCGATGGCTAGCGGTGCGGATCCGCCTAGACCGCTAAAGAAACGACACACCATCAGTTGTGCTGGAGTCTGAGCAAAACCGCATCCCAGATTCCAAACAACAAAGAATAAATTAGAGAACTGTAGCACAATTGTTCGTCCATAGGTCTCCGAAAGTGGCCCAAGACACAGTGGGCCGATGGCTTGTGCAAGGACGAAGATAGACAGCGTGAGTTGCGATTGCACTGCACTTTTGATCCGGAAATCAGCGCTTATATGGCTAAGAGCGGGGGCAATCATGGAAGAAGTAATAGGCGATACTATAGTAAAGCAGGCCACAATGGTCAACGCGGTCCATTTTCGTTTCATGGACCCTAAGGAAGAATTAGTACACAAAAGTTCATGCTAATGTGACGAAGTAGTTGTTTTTACAGTTCTTTGGGTTTTTCGGATCATTAGCAGAATCCCATGTCACCTATATTGTGCTTAGTAGATGTTGTATTTCGGGGATGCTGAAGCCGACACATACTAAGTTGGGATCCTTTACAGGAATTGCGGGCTTTTCTTCCAATATCTGAGATGCTTTTCTGTTGTCTTTGGGCGGTATGAGTCCCTTGGGCTCTTCATGAGACAATTGCTGATCGAATTTTCCTTCATCTTTGCTTGATTTCTGGTGGTTAAAATCCGGACCATGCAAGAGTCGTTCTGGGGATATCCCGTGTAACAGCGTATCGCTTGATTTGTGCGATGGTGTGTTGGATTTGACCGAGGAATTTTTCAAATTGTTCAATTCACTGGAAGTTTCCATGGATGTTTAGATAGCGGACAATACTCAAGGTTGCCAATCTTCATAGATTTGCTTATTGCGAAGGATTCATCGCCTGTAAACCTAAAATAAAGAATAGCAATCATTAGGATGTATTTTTCCTTTTAATGAAACGACGATTAGATTGGAGCCCACGTGCTTGTGATCGAACGTTCATTGCACAGATCAGACATCTGTGCACCCTACGGCTTGGGCAAGTAATCCGGCCAAAATTTCGGCACTTCGGGCTAGATTATACCCCGAGACTTCTACTACTGCATAACAGCTTGCAAGCTATAGACATGCGATAAGAGTATCAAAGAAAAAGTTGTAGTGTATAGGGTTATTTGTGTGGTGATAAACGACAGCTGCGCCAGTGTATGAATACTTACACCAAGGCACTGGGCCTAAACAGGCGGCACCTACGTATATCATGGACTGAAATCGGAGAAAATCTAATCATTGAATACTGAATCTTTGTTCACAACACAAATAACTCATGATCACTTCAACATATTGGGTTTACATACATGTAGTACTGATCATCTCCCTGTTTCCTGAGTACCGATATTCCCACTGACGAAGACAACTAGCACTGCAGCGTACCCAGCTGTCGCAGCAAAAACCTCCGATCTTCTTGAATTTGTCAAAATTCCTACATTGGCTGCAAAAAGGGCAGTAAAGAGAGCAATAACACCCAACTTTGATTTCTCGGAGGATATCGCGTAGAGCGTTACTATAGCCCCTACAAGCAGCGCAGCAGCGTTCAAGGTACACAGAATAGTCACAGTCCGAGCTATCCGCTGATCCGATGAATATAGAATGCCATCTCTATCTTTCTCCACTTTGAAAATCCTTGAGCAGTGATCTTGCAGAAACGCAGTCAGCCGATCGCGGTCTTGTACTTTCAACACTACCAGGTCGTCATCGTCGTCGAACAACGCCCTACTATGTGCACCCAGAGTCGGATATGGCTTTCCGCTTCCATAATTGAAGAACTTGAAACGAAATGCCTCAAGTGTTCGTTTTGGCGGTCTGGGAAGCGATGCCAACTGGCTTTCGTATAGCAGAGCCTCTCCTTTCACAATGTATTAGTTCAAAATTGCTACAGCATTCATTCTATTTACTTACGATACTCTTTGAGTGTTTGACCTATCTCATCACTCAGCTCCTTCCGTCTCTTCTGATGAGGATCGTTGACGGCTGCTGCTGTGAACTCAGCCCAGTTACGTGAGTACTGCTTTACTTCTAGAGGACCCAAGGCATCTTTGCGGTCGAGCGCATCTTGTTCGGCTTGCAACTCGGCAAGCTGACTCTGAAGATGTAACAAGTGTCGTGCGGCTAAACGGTTGAACCTCTTGAAGATTGTTGTTGTCTGATCGCGATCACTGGCAATGAAAGCTGCCAGTGAAGGATACCCTGAGAGGAAAGACTGGTCGGTCGTCCCTTTTTCGATGTCCATGTCGATACAATATTGCAGCTTGTATCTTTATGCAACTGATACTGATTGGAGAGAGTTTTCTCACCGGATCTCTTGGCATTCAGCCTCGGTCTGTCTTGTAATTTAGAACTGCATGCTGCAAGGCTATGCACATCTTATCTGCAGCCACTCAGTCATTTTGATCATGGTTGGGATACCTGATTGGTCCTTCAAGTTATTGAATGCAGTGTCGCTGCATTGAGCATACGCTAGGAAAAGACACGCAAGACCCGGGTATTTTCTTCGCGAGATTGACGCTCTCAATCCTCCTTCTCACCCTACACTGCAATCTCATTATCATCTCTTTTTTCATGGCCTATCAATTCTGAGAATTACACTCCTTTTGCATCATCAGATACAAAATCCAAGATGTGTTTTTACGATCAATATCGATTCGATTGTGGCCACTGGAAATGGGGGCATTTCCGACAGCAATGCGCTAAAGAATATCGAATCGACGAGACTTGCGGCATGAAGCTTGTAATGCGTACCGTTTCTGTCAAGGATCAATGCAAACTATGTCAGAAGATAGTGAAGAAGATGAGGGAACGAACAAGTGCACTAGAGTGCATTGCTCGATGGGAAAAAGAGGGGCCAAAACTCCGCGCGTCGATCGACAAAGAAACAGAGCATGTCAGAACACTGGATAATCAAATCTGCGAGCTGAACCGTGAAAGTGAAAGGAGGCATCTGGCTATCGATGATTGGGGAATGAAAAGCCCTTCATCAAATAGTGCGCGCAATATACCCACACCCTCCATGGCGCTGAATTCTGAACTTTCTCAAGAGGTAGGTCTAGAACTCACTGGAAACTCTCGAGAAAATGGAGGCAAGACAAAATCTAGGGATGACTTGCACGATCCTTCCCTACCACCGGAAACAACCGCCTATTCACTACAAAGTCAGAAGCCACATTACAAGCTGTTTAAGAAGTCAAATCTGATGTACGGTTTACCAATGACATTTGAGGGGAACCTAGGCTCCGTAACCGTCATGGCTGTGCCTGATAGTGGCTCGGATCATAATGTGATGTCCCTGGGACTGGCACTTCACCTAGGAATGAGACTGGAATGGAGTGTAGCCGAGAAGACGGAGCTTATCTTTCTGGATGGTAGTGCGGTAATACCTACAGCCCTTGTTCATGCGAGCTGCAGATTCGCGAGGACGTTCTCTTTCGATTGGAAAATGCGTTGCACATTTCTTGTGCTACCTTCTTTGATTGAAGACCTCATAATATCTGCTTCCTTTCTTGACAAGACAGCAACTTTCACAATGTTCCGCAACCGTCTTGTCCAAATGTCGCTCAAAACACCGGGAACGCTCAAGATTTGTACCATGGGTGCTATAAATCGACGGTTGACATGCTGCATAGACGGAGAGGCAATAGCAGCACTTCCCGACAGCGGTTCTGACGTTGATGTTATTTCCCTCGCTTATGCGACGAAGCGCAAATTCAAGTGGGAAAATACTTTGCAGGAAGTCGTATTTGCTAACGGGAGAACTAAGATAGCACGTGGAAAGTTTGTTGCTCAGTTATCGCTTGGCTCATCCGCGCGGCTGATTAAACTCAAGGAAGATGCCGATGCAGATGAGTTTGCAGACAATGAAAGAGGGACAGGGGATTTGATCGATGGTGAAATCAATGTTCAACCACTGAGCGCGCAAAACACAAATCGAGATGATACACCTGTTCAGCGCGTCATAAACACGACATTCTATATACTGGATGGAATTACCGTTGACGCACTCATTGGAGCAAAGTCGATTGAATCTTTACAAGTCTATACTCATCACACCCAACATATAACCATACAAACGAAAAGAGACATTGAAACCTTCAAGATATGTCGCATTGCCCTGTCGAGCAAGATACGCAGCAATGCTAAAATCATTGTCACCAGTTCGAGACAGACAAGATCCGATGGTGCGTGCGATATCCTGGTTTGAAGATAGTGTGCTGACTGGACACAGGATTACCTCGCCCAAACCTCGAAGCACAGCTGAACGAAGCGGAACAGCAAGAAAACTCTCGCAGAGAAGAATCAAGTCGGGTAGCTTCACTGCTAACCGGTGACGCAAAGGCAGCTTTTGATCATAGTGAACAAGATAGGAGGAGGGCTTTCGAAGAGTACAGATCTTCCCTATTACGAAATCATGCACCATAAAACGAATTTCAGTCTTCAAGAAAGTCTCAACATTCCATTCAAGGCTTGTAGAGAAACGCGCTGGATAGTCATATTTCTCTAGAAGCAACTGGCCGGAAAGAAGACCTGGGAAAGCTAACGATACATTATATTTTACTTCCTTGCCACCATATCCTCTTCTTGTGTGTAAATTGGCTGTCCATGTTACATGTAATATACCGCAACGAATGTGGTTGAACGTATCCTGAAACGATGACATCAAAGTCTAATACTAACAACATCTGAAAGGCACCAGAGTTCTCATTGTGCCCGAATAAGCTTTAGCCCATTGCGGAATTCAGCATCAATGTCTCTATCAACAAGTTGTTGAGCCTTATTCCGATGAAACTTTGCCCTGCTCTCCAGCATATCTAGCACACGTCGTACTGTACAATACATGCCCTGCAAGCGTGGCCCATACTCCCCTCAAGAACGCCCACATGTCGTCGTCAAAAGAGCACTCATTTTTCCAACTCAGCAGCTGTTCGTACATCAATGCTTCCTTCTGTAGGATCATACTGTATAGCATCTCAACGGCCTGGCGCTCATCCAAAGACAAGAGCTGTTGAAGATGAAGAATTGCGTTTGCTGGTCCCTGCTTTTCGCTTTGCTCTTTTGCTTCTTTTACCCACGAGTACAAATCGTTAGTCATTCCCAGATGCATACTAGCCCACCCAAGCCATTCCGCGATACGCAGAGCCGACGTGTCCACTTTGAGATCCAAACTGAACTTTACACATGACCAGACAAACAATGCACCGACGTTTCGGTGGCGATAGGCGAGATACTCGCCGTGGTTTTCGCAATTTGCCGGCGGCTTCAGCCAGTATTCTATGTTTAGAGCGGCGTGGTGCATCTCTCTTCCTGCTGTACTACCTGTAACACGATTGTATTCGTAGATTGCCGCAATCGTTTTGTCGAGATACGTTTGCAGTGGCGAGCTTTCGATACACCCTCGATCCGCGCTTGCAAGGCGCATTCTCCATTCATGTAATACGCCCGCAGTTTCTTCTCTGGTGCCCTTTTCGCATTTGTCTGCTCTGGTCAGGTCTGACGCCGTATGATTACATAGAGACTTACCATCGAAAACCCATAACATGATCATGAGCACGTTGATCAGCTCCAAGCGCCTAGGATCCTCACAGAATGGGTACATCATCGCATTTGCTTTCGCGAAATACACCCCAGTCATATGCGCGTCATGCCTAACGCCTGTACTCATGCAAACATGCCGCAGTGTTGTGCCATCACGTAGTGGCGAATCTAGATCACTTTTGTCACTTTGAATTAGATCGAGCAGCTCATTCACCACATCTAACATCTGTCTCCAAAACACGTTTTCATAGGCAGGTGTGATACCTGAGAGATAAGGAAAGTGTCTTTCTGCTTCAATTGGTGTGAAAGTAACCCAATATGATTTATCATTGGTGTTTTGCTCTTTTGAGGTAGGGAAGTGTCGAGATGTGCGACGAAGAAACGTTCCTGCATTCGATTTAGCTGCTCGAAGAGGGTCATGAAGATACACTATCGGGTTGATCTTCGAGATGTCTTTGGCCGGTAAGACTCCGCGGAGGAAATCCGAAAAGTTTGTCATGTCTGACATGCTCTGTTTTCTGGGCTACAAAAACATTGGCTGCAAAAATTACAGTTTTGAATCGGGTTCCCATTCTTTTATAACAGGGGATCTTCTTTGATGTTCACTCTCCAAAGGCGAGAGGTGCCTCGGGTCTTGCTTCCTAAGAATGGAGTGTTAAGGCCTCCTCGAACCAATCTATCCGCGTTAGCACTCAATCGGAAGTAAGCACTACTACGTTAGCTTCATTTCTTGTCCGGTCCCCTTTGGCCCCTTGTGTCCCACGTGGGTCTCCAAAATGGGTCTTGACGACGGGACGGGCATTTATATAACTGGTCTGTCACGAATGGTGTTTGTTCGCGTTTGAACAAGATTACATCCTGTGCATAATTTCGTGTTTACCAGTGCGATCAATGTCAGCAAGAGGCCGATTGTAAAAAATAGTAATTATTTAAATAAGCATGTAAAAGGTTCTTATGCTTGTGATTGCAATACATAGCAACCGCGTGGAGTGAATGATGTGTTGTGAGAAGGCTGAGCCGTGGGGGCCTGATGATTTAGTATTGGTGAACTATCAGGCAGTCCATTTCGATTTTTTCCATAAGGCCTTGCCAATGTGTAGATACGCGGGTCAATTCCTTAAGGAGGCCACTGGCCTACAAAGGAGCTCGTTTCTAGTACGGATCAACTATTTGTTAAAACTAATAAGAAGGATTCTCTTGACAAGAGACAAGAAGGCAGGGGCTCGAGGTCACGTGATATGCGATCCCGCCAACGCTTGCCATCTTGAATAGTAGAGCAGGAAGACATAGTGGTACTATCCTAACCTCCCGCTAAGATAGCATGAATGGGATAGTGCAACTAATGTAACAAAGATATCAGAATACAAAGATTTTATTATCCATTTCATGATGTTATAGAGCCCGCAGACTTTAGCAAGAATCTGGATAGAGAATCATAGACCTGAAACCTACGCAACACGCCAAGTGTTGGGTATTTAGGTGTATTAGCTTTTTATAGCCGAATTGTTGTCGGCCTGGGGCCTGCTTTTAATTCTTCGTTTTGTAGCCATTTCAGGTTTACATTTTCAGCAAGATAGGTGGCTTGGCTAGTTAGCATCTCTCTAGGTTAAGGCAGAAATTGAGAGTTTTTTCTTATGACTCCGTGTTACAACTACCGCCGTCCATTTTATACGACGGAACATTACCCTTGTAAATGTTACTGTATTCTACATAGGGCTTTGTAGAGTAATGCGTGTTCAATAATAGCTATGACTGATAATGCCTCATTGAAAAGAGGCAATGCTCAATACGAAATCTCTATATAAAGTGCTTTATGTCTCTCACTTTGCCCACATAGTCAACAATCTGTCATTTCACTCATCAATTCACAAACAGTTCACGACAACTCTCTTCCACAACACTTTACGCAATATCAAGATGAAGCTCTTCATTACTCTACCCTTGGCCTTCACTGCGCTGGTGATAAGCACCCCAACTGAAACAAACAACCAATTCGATCTGAGCAAAGTGCAAGGTGCACTTGAAGCTCGTCAAACAGTAGTGTTGCGTCCGGGCAATGAAGTTGGTCCAGGGCTTGTTCCTGCTCCGCCAGCCGCACAACCTGTTTGCACCTGTCCTAAGATTCTTGGAGTATGTTTATACAAAGATCTGTATCCTTGATTAGTAACTTCACTGACCGAACAACAGCGTTGCATCGTTGATGCTACTTGTGGGTGTTGCAATTAAAGAGGTTCTATATGTCCATCTGGAATTTTATCGTTGTATGAAGTTCTCCATCATTTTATGTAGAGTTTAACCTTGACCGGTATATTTGAGTTGGAGTTAGAGCCTCTTTATAAGAAATAAAAACCATTTGCGCAAGCCAATAGCACTTTCCATGGAAGCCACGTCAGACGATGTATAATGCTTAGTAGCAACTCCCACTCGGGCTATGTTCAATGTGCATTAATGAAGGACGTCTTGGTTAATGAGAGAACGCACAGGAAACGAGCATGACTTCTGCTAGTACAACAGGCTGAGAAATATCACGGTAATGCGATATTCTGGTTTCCAAAATAAAGGAGGCGCACGATGTCCTATGGCTCTAGTAGGAGGAGTAGAAGTAGCTACAACAGTAAAGAGCTAGAATAATGAGGGGGACTGAGCAGGTGAGACGCGTGAAGGATCTGATACACCAGGCGAGGGTTACAGCAAGCCTCCCAAGTTAGAGGGAGAAGGAGCAGAAGCATACTAAAAAGGCCGCGAGTATCGCATCCTGTAAGACTGCACAATAACTCCAAAATCTACCAAAGCTTCCAGAGAGGTAATGGAATGGGCTTTGTGGCTCTCATAAAAGCTATTCTACAAGACAGAAGCTTAAAATAAGTTCCTAAGATAGTAGGGAATTTGGACATGTATTTTCCCTGTACCTACAAGTCATGTATCGAATGATCTAAACAATTTGATTCACTACATTGAAATGCGCCTTGATGTAAGTAGATAATGTACAGTAACAGGAAGGACTTCACATTGCGTGGCAGTGTCATGTAGCTAAAGAGTTTGGTAGCTTCGGGAGCTTTTGTTTGCATTGCAATGCTTCCTGTATAACCTGTTATTAGTAAACTCCTTCGATGAAACTCGAACAGACAGAAGCGCTAGTAAGAGCCGTGATTTAGGCATTAGGGGACTGAATAATCTCGGTACAAGATTCTCCCAAGTGGCCATGTTCAGTGAAGATTTTTTTCGCTTCAAAGCGGTGGTCCCTCACAGAGCAAGACCTCCATAATAGGAATGCATCCAGGCACTCGCTGCTTGAGGCCTTTCCTGGTTTTCTCAGGCGCCCGTCACACCTACATACACCCGTGGGGGCCATATATGATATCCCCAATCTATTCAGCTGCACCTGTCGCAGCCATCTTAGGCGGGCAAGATTAGCGGCTTGTCGTTCGCGTATCTGCCGCTTCTAGCCAAGAAATACGGGATAGCACCAGGGTCACCATCCTGCACGGTGCGCTGACACGCCACACTCTTAAAATGCTACACGTAGATGTAAGTCGCGAATTGAGAAGTGATCAAAGACTTGGTACTGAAGTTCCACTACAAAGACTTCAAAAAGGCGATGTTGACTTGTTCGTGCAAATCTCGAGTTTGCTGAGTGGTCCGTATCATGCGTCTCGGAAGAGATTCACTAAGCGGCTGGTAACGATTGAATGTACATAAACCATTGCTAGGGTTGGTGTAGCGTGTTGGCTTACTGACCAAAACCAGATCTCAGCGAATAGCGAGCCCTACATAACGATACTCGTTGGCACGACATTCATGCAGCACGCCTGATCGTGCTTCCAGGTAGTGCTTATCCAGACCCTAACTCAAATTTCCCATGCGTTGTTAGTAAAGTAGCAGGTATGATCACAAGGCTTAGTCCCATGTGCAACAAGCCTAATCGTGCCTCTGAAAGGTGCATTTCCCTTCTTGAGCCTAGACCCATGAAACTGTTACTACAACGTTTTCTTCGCCAACGTCCGAAAAATATAGGCGAGTATTCTATGGAGAAATGGAGAAATGGATGGGCAGAAAAAAGGTATAAAGGATGGAGTCTCCCGCATCATTATCCCCATTAATACACACGAAGATTACAAGCAACAAGATCAATCAACTTTTCTTCACATCTTTCCGCAATGCATTTCAAGAACGTTCTCCTTCTTGCATTCCTCAGCGCTTCTAGTGCTTTCATCATTCCCGAGGGCACTGGAGATGGTGTCTACGAGCACCATGTCGATGCCAACGGTGTTGATGTGCACGTCAAGATTGGCAACGCCACAGACTTCTCTGCCACAGAATTGAGCGCCTATACCAAGAGAGTGAACTCCATCCGCGCTTCACGTCTCCAGGCGCGTGAAGGCGCTTTTTGCAACCAGGGCCCTGACAAAGCAAACATGCATCATGGCGTCAGTATTCTAGGAGTTTACTACGAAAAGCTAGCAACTAATTCATTGTAGGACACTGATGCCGCAAACGCTGATCTGGATTACCAGTGCAGCAACTATGGACCGACCAAGGGCCGCCACAACTACTACTCTGTTCGTGGCAATACCGTTGCATTCTTTTGCAACTATGCTCTTAACTCAGTCCAATGCACTGCAGAACGACGTGCTCAGCTGAGTGCTGCCATTACGAGGACATGCGGATGGTACCATGCTGGATGGTGGGATGGGGGTTTGACTAGCTACGGTTATGACACCGGCAGATGTTTCTGCAACGAATGTGTGTAAATACCCAGTTATCAAGTTTAGGAAAGATCCATCGGTAGGGGTGTGCGGACGGAAGTCTTGCTCTTGAATTTTGATGAGAAGTGCTCGGGTAGTCTGGGACAGTATACAAATACGATCGGACGTGGACCAATTCTCGATGACTGTTTTCAAACATGTACAAAGCATATAAAGTCTTAGAGATAGCTCCAATGGTCTTTTGTAAATCTCGTTGTATTTAGGGAAATGATATCAGTGATTCCATATGTGCGAATACATAGTAGTCAGCTATATGATCTTTTGGACAGGAGCATTAAACGCATTATCCCACTATAATTGAACTGCACGTACGTCAGTTACTCACAGAAATGAGGATGATCTAGTACACTGTCCAGTGATCCGTGGACGTGCTAGCTATTGAAACTCAAATAAAGTCACTGGGCATGTTGTGGCACGTTCACCAATAAATCAAGGGATCGATTGCAACGTTCCCCACTTTGATCTTACGCACCACTCTTTTATTCTAGGTTAACACTCTGTCGCTCTTCATTCTTAGTACACTGCTTATATGGTGCTTATTTGCACAGTTCATGGATGATTAGTATAGAAGATTCATAGACTAGTTTTGTGACTGCAAATGGGTAAATGCCTAGTCGACCAGCTATTTGCATGCACAGCTCCCCATCATAATACGAACGCACAAACATTTTAGACTGAACATGAAAAGGGGTTAGCTATAACAGAGGTGTGTTATATGGTTGGGCGCAAAAGTGGTGCTATTTTTAGCTGCGAGCATGCACCGACAAAGAGAACGACCTGGGTGAAGGATGCACGGTCTTGGTTAGCAGATACATCTTCAAACAGGAACATCGTACGTTATTACCTGTCTTCTATGATCCGGCTGCATGGCTGCTCAGGGGTTGCTCGAGGCAAGTGCCACTCATGGAAATGCTTGGTAGTGAGACAGAACTTTGAGAAAGAAGTCTTAGATACTTTAGCAACGCTCGAAGGAGTTATATCACCAACAATTAGCGCAATATCTACTAGTTTTTATTGTATTGTTGGAATACAAATTAAGTTGATTTGCCGCTTTTTCTTTCCCCGAGTCTTCTCACTATAAGCTAAATTGCTGGGTTTTGGTCTACGGTTGAAGACAGACAGTTGCCATATTCAGTACGTACACAATAATTTGCATAACGAATTCGAGTTCAAATTAGCCATCTTGGTATTCTCTAAAATAACTTGCGAGCTGCTATGGCTCTCATTCCTGGCTGTTGATACGATAAAAACTTTGTTTCTGCTAATGTTCAGTACATAAACGAACCGCTAGTGTTGGTAGTTTTCAATATATATCTGCAAACCGTATTTTTGTTGGTTCGAAAACGTCGAATTGATATTCCCACTAGTCGTGCATGGATTTTGGCCGGCGATGTCATTCGAGTCTGGCCCGTGCACCAATCTTGCATCTCGAATTGCGAAAAGTATCCCGCATCAACGTCCGCCACGCCCCGCCAGACCACCAAAATCCATTCGACATTGCGACTACGATGTCCACACCGAGCAGATGCTTGGCCACGGCCGCTAAGAACCTGAGAAATTCACGCATTGCGACCGTCCCGCAACGAGCCTTTGCTTCAAGCACAACGAATGCGCTTGCATCCTCACGGAATGGCACCGCGCCGAAGACGACATGTTTGAGGGAATTACAAAGAACACAGATTAGCTCAGGGAAGACTGCAGGCAGCTTGGGCGGACAGACACGGACGTTTTCACAATCAGCATCGCGAAGCAAGCTCAAGACAATTGACCAGATTCGGGCACGGAACAAGGGCGGGGTACGTTCAATATTTACTCGAATAGATGCGTTGAATAGAGCAGGAGTGAACTGAACGTTCAATAGCTGACATATTGTCTAGCCATTCAACCTGACAGCTGCCATCCTCTTCATCGCAGCGGGCGGAGGATTATGGGCCTATTTCACGTACGAGAAGGAGCGCCTGGCACGGAAGCGGATAGCCGAGCAGACCAAAGGCATAGGCAAGCCCAAAGTCGGTGGACCATTCCAGCTAGTAGATCAAAATGGGAAGCCATTCAGTAACGAGGATATGCTCGGAAAATACTCATTGGTATGGCAATGGCTTTACAAACCTTTGGGTAAAGTAAATTAATTGTGTCATTACAGGTCTACTTCGGCTTCACCCACTGCCCGGACATTTGCCCCGACGAACTCGACAAGATGGCCCTCATGTACGACAAGGTAGTGGCGGAATGTGGAAACGTCCTCCTACCCATCATGATTACATGCGATCCCGCGCGCGACAACCCCAAGGTGCTCAAGGAATACCTAGCCGAGTTTCACCCGGACTTTATTGGCTTGACGGGCGACTACGAGCAGATTAAGAGCACGTGCAAGGCGTACAGGGTATACTTTAGCACACCGAACAACGTCAAGCCTGGCCAGGACTATCTGGTTGATCATAGCATCTACTTTTATCTCATGGGTATGTTGTCCAAGGCAGAATTAAAAAAAACGAGAATCGAGACTAATGCATTGGGTATAGATCCAGAAGGCGACTTCGTAGAAGCCATCGGCCGCAACTTTACAGCCGATCAGGCTGCCAAGGTTATTTCTGACCACATCAAGGATTGGGAGAAGCCGCTTAAGAAGGAGACGCGGTGGGAGTAAGGTGGAATATCTAGTGTAAAGATAGGTGGATGAGGTATGAGGGGAGGAGATGGAAGATGACAGTGTATGAATACAATGGCAGCAAACTTGTACTATACGATGGCGAGCTATGTATATTACTGTACAAAGATGTATAAGAAGGTTTCTAGGCAAGATGCTCATGACTCGTTTTGGATACTTGAAGAATTGCAAATCTGGGGAATAGGGTGTTGACAGTCACGGTGTGATGACATAAAGAGTAAGCGGTAATACGTACCGAGGATGATGCGCGGGGTAAGCACAGATCTGGGCTACTTTCATCCGATCCTTCTTCAGATGGACTATTGACCGTAATACATATTCATCCAAATTCAGAAAATCGTCATCTCCACTGGGCCGGTAACTCAGTGGTAGAGTGTAGGACTGCAGTTCTCCCAAAAACCGCCTTCCCGAAGTCACCGGTTCGACTCCGGTTCGGCCCTTGTTTTTTTGTTTTTTTTGTTTTTTGCCTTGTTTTCCTCGATCCAACTATGTACAGTGTACGTTAGTCAGATCTATTTCTGTTTTTTGTTAGTTCTACCGTTTAAAGACGATTTTTGATGGTACGGTGTAGTCATTGTTCCGAGGGGTATTTTTGGAGGCGTTACTTGATTTACTTGTTTTGCTAGTTTTTTTTGTCTTTGTGTTTCATTGTTTGGGTTGAATGGGCTTGGGGGTAGGTACCAAAAAAAAACAAAAGGTGGCGGCGCATGCAGATGCACATGTGTTGACTGATTGAGCGATGCAAGATATATGTATTCTTTGTTTTTAAGCTGCAAGATGGCGATATGCGTGCTATTTTTGATGGTGCATGAAGAACAGGCGGTGATAACCGTGTGTACCTGTGTGCACCATTTTTGAGAGTGATTGGAGGGATGTAAGCTTGTGTGTTGCGTGTTTATTCTATCAATCATTGAAGTGACACATGACTAAGTGTGTCTTTGTGTAGTATTCTCAACGAATCATGAATGACGTTGCACCAGACGCAGGTTTGGTGTGCATGACATTTTGGAGGGTGGACTAGATTGCTTTTTCTGTACTTTGTGTGCAAAGTGCTGTGAGTAGCATGACTGGAGATGGGAAAGATGACGTGCATGGGTCAAGAATAGATGGGTGTAGTGTGCGTACGTAAATAGTTTCCTGATTGAGGCAGTTTGGAGTGACGATGATTTCCGCGGACTTATGGAACTTGCCGATTGAATTGTGTTTCAGATAAGTACTATTTTTTTTGGTCATCGGATTTTTTTTCGCATTCTAATTCTCACTCTAGAATCCAGTTTTATCGCAAACTTTGTGTTTCCGCTGAGGGGTATCGCGGGCGAATCGTGCTGCAGAGTGGCGTGGCCAGCAAACGCATATCGTGAGCGATTAATTTTTCTCGCTACTCAAAGAGGTATACCTCGTGCATAGAAAATGGCAAGATGACTCCACTATGAGGCGATACGCAACCGTACCGTTGATCTACAAAGAAGATTCCTAACGGGCGATTGCGAACGTTCTGGGTCTGCGGACCGGTGGGGGTGGGCAAGAGGCAGCTGCAGGAACAGTGGGAACCTAGGGTAATCTGGGTTCTTGCCGCAGCTCGGGAGTGGGTCTGTAGATAGTGTATGCAGGCTGGTTCTAGTGGTTCTGTGTCCACTTTTGAGGGGAGCTCCACCAAAATTAGGTGTACAGGTGAGGTGGATGGGATTTTTTTCTTGTTGGGTGTGGACCAGAAGGGCGATGTTTTAAGGATTTGACGATGGAGATCCGAATGGCCCCCCCGTGTTGAGCGGTGGCTAGTGGACGCACGGCCCCCTCGACGAATTTCCAGAGGGCGACGAATGATTGCATGGGCATTTTCTTGGACGGTCGGAGTTGAGTAACGGTGCCAATGATGTGGTGGTTGGAATAGGGCCTTTGTGTGATCTGCATGCAGTCAGGTTATTAGACTCACCCAGTATCCCCGCTCAGCTCGTAAACTAAAACATTTGTGCGATGAAGATCGTCGACAAGGCCGAGTCGGTGCTGACGAGACAGGTGGACGGGTGTTGTTGTGGCGCGACTTCTAAGCATTGTAGGCTTGTTATCTCAGATTGCTGAGCTGTCAGTGTTTCAAAAGTGAGAGACTTGGATGCAAAGATGACGATCGCAGCGGCGGAGCAGGCGCAGAGCAACGGCCGGGCTATGGCGGCAGGAGCGCAAGCGGTGAGACAGCGTATAGCGCTGATGGATGCACAACGGGTTGATTGACGCAGCGGCGGCAGAGGAGGGCTGAAGTGGCAGGGCCATGGACCAAGCCGTGTCATCTGTCTGTGGGGAACACGCGCGTGGCCATGGATGCATGACCGTAGAGGAGGAGGAGGAGGAGGAGGAGGAGAAGACATGGCTACATGGCGCGTCTAGCATGCATGGCTGCATGGCTGCAAAGACAGACAGCGGGCGTCGGCCGAGACAAGAAGCAATAGTTTCGATGGCCATGTTGCGCGGACACGGCTTATGTGGAGGGTGGCTTCTTTTTTTTTGGAGTCAAAATAAACATGTCACGGGCGGCGCAGTGGCTAAGGGGTTTGTGCGACCAAACACAGGGCAGCATGTCGATGTCGAGGCTTGAGTACGATGACAGGCTGACGGTGCTTAGACGCAGCTGAGGGGAGTGTTTGCGTAGTAATGTGGGATGTCATAATCAAGGCGACTCTGGGATGCAGTCTGGGGAGGGGAGCCGCGAAGAGCATAGTGCAGTGCCAGCCAGACGTGCGTGGTGCAGGCGTGCATGTGCTAGAGGAGTCGTCTGACTGAGGCGGGGTAAAGTATGTAAGTAGTAGGTGGAGGTGAAGGAGGGACATGGATGATGATACATGGATATGTATGTATATGCGGCGGGTGCTAGTGGATGTAAGTACATGGCCGGATTGGGGCATGCAAACAAACAGACGAGGATAAACACAGCAGCAAGGAAGGAACGACGGGGCTGTCGTTGCACCGGGCGCGAGTCCGTCCATGCCACGGCCTTTTGGTTGGTGGCGGCGGGCGATGAAGTCATGGACGACTGGACAGAGCGTGGCACTGGCACTGGCACTGTCCGCTGCATTGGCATGGCAATCAAGGCTCATCCATTGCAGCCACGCGCGCAGCCGACGCTGAATAGTCGGCGGCCTAGCAGATAGCAGCAGCGACGGGTTAGTGTGGTAGGGCGCTGGGGCGTGCTGGGGCGTGCTGGGGCCTGAGTCAGCAGCCGGGCGTGGCCTGCAACCGAGATCTGGAACATGGTCTGCACGGCAAAACTCCTGCAGGGCCGCCTGATAGCACCCAGTGATGGCCATCCCTACTTAACTCTATCACGCCGCCGCCGCCCCTCCCACGCCCATGGACGCCGTCCCACATCCTGCCTGGCCCAGCCCGGACTCGTTCCCAGCCCTCGCTGCTCCTTGACATCTGTTAAAGACGACGCGCTGCCGCAAATGCGTTGCCCCCATTCTCCTCCCTCTCCAAAGCTGCTGCCCACCCGAGCGCTCTTTCTTCGGAGTCCACCCAGACGCCAGACGCCCCATCCGCGTCGCTCATTTTACGCCCACACTACCCCTGTCGCACCTCCCAGAGATACCCAAACACGCCTGGCTCGCCTCTCCACAGCACATTGCACCCTCTCGCTTTCTTGCTTCTTCCCGTCTGGCTGAGACGCCCAAAATAAATACCCGCCTTGCCCATTGCTGGCCGCGCTTCCGTGTGTCCAAACACACATCACCCCCCCCCCCCGTCAGACCCGCAATCCTGGCTTCCTCTTCCTATGGACCCAGCTGCTACCGACACCATGTCGCGAAGTCGAACCACGCGCACCCGCTCGGCAAACTCTGGCGCCGCTGCCACGTATGGATATCATAATACTTACCATACACACGCCCAACTGCCCCTTGGCTCTCCGCCCTCGTATGCCTGTGCCATTGACCCCCAGACTATGCAAAGGCTCCAAGCCCGAACAAAAGCAGAGCAAGATGCCGTCCACACAACCCCTCTTCCACCGCCCTACACCTGCACCGTCGACATCGAGGGCATTGTGGGAATCAAGCAGGAACTCTCGTCGCCCTTTCAAGTCTCGGGTCACCGCGAGTGGACCGACGTCTACGCTATCCTCCGCGGCACTCAGCTAAGCCTCTATCGCATCAAGAACCCGCACCTTCTCAGCAAGAACAAGTCAGCCTCACCCGGCCGTCTGCTCAAGACGTTTTCTCTCCAGCATGCTGAGGTCGGCGTCGCCTCTGATGTTAAGAAATCGGCTTTGGTGCCAAAATCTCCGTTTGTTCATTTGGTCCCTGTTGCAGCTCGTCCCAAGCTGTATGAGTCGGACCCACAACTCTTCGAGCCCGTAAGGGAACATCCCATCCGACTCCGCCTCGAGTTTGAACAATTCTTGCTGTGCCCCCAATCCGAGGAAAGCATGCTCGACTGGGTGGAATCCTTCTGTGCTGCCATTGACATTAGCGCCCCGCTAGAGGATCGCAGCGAGCCTCGCTACAGAAGTTTGCCCCGAAGGAGTCGCAGGCAGCGAGTCTTGGATGCTGCACAGGTTGGAGAAAATTTCGAGGGTTTGTCAAGCATAGAAGCTGGCCGTCGCCTGATTGCAGAACAGGAGCAGATTATGCGACAACTCTACCCCAACCTAGCAGGAAACCGCGAGCCAAGCACAAGCCGCTCATCTCCCTCTGCCGATGCTGAGCTTGACGACTTTGACCCAGAAGATGTTCGCTTCCCTACACGAGAGGCCCAACAGTCTCTGGTGCGTGTCTCTTCCCAAGACCAGGCCGATGACCAGCAATCCGAGAACGGATCCGACCCCAAGTCGACACCTCTGCCTCCACCTTCGCCCGCGCAAATGATGCGCTACCGTCGCCGTTGTGCACCTGTACTGCTCGCTTCGTCACCGCGGGTAAGCGATGTTGTTTTTGCCAAGGGTCAGCGTTTCCGCATCAGCGTAAAGGCTCACATGCTTGTTGAGTACACCGCCCACCCGCCGCGCTATGATGCACATGGTTTTCCCAAGACCAGGAGACCGTCTCACACCAGCGCAAGCCAAGATCCCCCCGCGCCAGTTGCAGACGAAACAGAGCCTGCAACCATTGTACCGGAACGACCAAGCTCCCCAGTCCGGGGTATTAGCGATGATTCTATAACGTCTATTTCATTTGGCGAAGACCTCGCCCCTATTAACTCAAAGTCAAACACCGATGAGACGGGTCCATCAGGCCCGCCCTCACCAACTGGCAAGGCGCCCATGGCGGCAGATGCCGCCCGCCAGTTGGACACCATTGACAAGAGACGGCCCAGCATAGAGAGCCGCGAGGCCAGCCTGAACCCCGTCAGTCTCGGTGTCGGACTGCTCATTTGAGCAACATGCCTTTCATTTTGCCCGCATGATTTCCTTTGTTCTTTTTTGCATCGCACGGCGTCGGATGAGCGAATTATATGGGTGCATCCTCAGCGCGATTGGGCGCTGACACGCTTGTCTTTTTAGGCGCAGCACTTGCACTGGTGTTTAAAAAAAACCGTTGAGAGAGATATATACCCCTTTACTATGTATGGATTATAGGGAAACCGAGGATTTTGACTAGATTTTGGCTGAGAGGGGTTTCGGATGTATATAGACCACGTTAGCAATCATTTAATTACCACCATCCACATTTTTAGCCATTTGCCTTTGTTGAGATGATGTGAGTGAATCAGCTTACTAACATCGCTTGGGTGAGGATATGTCAAACAGGGGAAAGGCCGTCTTGTTACCAAGCAAGCGCAAGATTGGCTAAGCATGTACGCCCACAGATAGAAGCTTGTTCGGCTTTTCTCCACAACATCTCGACCAAACAAAACCATCAGGTATGCAATGTTGCCATGATCCTCTTTCCGCATTCGTATTAGTCTACGCGCTCAACAGACTGGGCACTATAGTGTACATTGAACCACCAGACGATCTGGGGAAAGGCTTACTATAAACGTCAAGAGGAACAATTCAAACGAGAAGATGAACAAGCGGACGAGCTGCGGACTTGGCAATCAAAAGACGCATAATGACTACACTATCAACTACATACTTAAACAAACTCCAACCCCATTGTACGTGCAAACAATATACTAGTACAAACCCGTAAACACCAAAACACCAAGCACCATGTCCCCCAAACCCATCGCCCTCATCCTCGGCGCAGGCCCCAACGCCGGCACTGCAATCGCCTCCTCCCTCTCCTCCCTCGGCTACCGCATCGCGACCGCCTCCCGCAGCGGCACCTCCACCTCCACCTCCACCCTCTCCCTAACCGCCGACTTTACCAATCCCTCCAGCATCCCCCCACTCTTCACCCGCATCCACACCGACCTCCACGCCTACCCCAGCATCGTCGTCTACAACGCCGCCACCATGACTCCCCCCTCTGACGCCGGTGTCGTAACGTCCGTCCCTGCCGACAAGTTTACCGCGGACCTGAATGTAAATGTTGTGAGTCCGTATGTGGCAGCGCAGGAGGCGGTGAAGGGGTGGAAAGAGATGGGCAAGGAAGCGGGGGGAGGGGAAAAGACGTTTATTTTTACGGGGAATATGTTGAATCGGACTATTTTGCCGGTGGATGCGTTGGTGACGCTGGGGGTGGGCAAGAGTGCGAGTGCGTATTGGGTTGGGCTTGCGGATGAGATTCACAAGGGGGAGGGATATCGGTGAGTTTCTTTTTGTTCATGCTTGAGAATGTTGATGAGGCTGATGAGATGGCGAATTAGTTTCTTCTACACTGATCAGAGACAGCCGGATGGCAGTCCAATGGGTAATGTGGTTGATGGGCCTGCTCACGGCGAGTTCTACGCTCAACTGGTGCAACGCACAAACGAGGTTCCTTGGCTGGCTACGTTTGTAAAGGGAAAAGGCCATGTCAGGTTTGATGGGTGAGATTGCTATAGAAATCTCTAGAGGTAAGATTGAAGCCGGCTAGGACTTGGATAGTAGTAGTACATCATAAAGCTCATACATCAATCATATCTTACATGTCGTCCAAAACATCATAGTCCTGGCCAATCTGCTTCTTCCTTCCTTTCCTGCCCTTGCTTCCCCGAATCTTTCGATCGCTCGTATATCGTCCGTCACGGTCACCGACCAGCATTCTTCCTCCTTTGCCCAGGATCTTGGCAGGTCCTTCTTCCACCGTCCTGCCGTCCTTTTCACCAATGCCAATCTCAATAGTCACCTGCTTGGCCTTCTTGACCTTTCTGCCCTTCTTGTCGAACTCGTCACTTGGACGTCCCAGACGCACACTGCGCGGAATACGTGTCTTTGCGCCAAGTGCCCACAAGTCGCCCCATCGGGCTTTTCGTGCATCGCGGAAGGCCTGCTTGCTGAAAGATCGGGGAACCGTCCAGCGCTCTAGTGTACCAGCTGGTGTGCACACGTCCAATATAATATGACCTCGTCGCTTGAGGGCAGGCAGGATGAGTCGAGGGAGCGTAAGTGGATTAACGTCGGCTGTCGATGTCAATACAGGCTCTTCTGTTGCTAGATCTGGATCCGCGTCTGAAGCCTTCCATTCATGGCCTTCAAAAGCAGCTGCCGTCGATGATTCTCCTTGAACAAAACCCTTGCCGAGAATGTCGTGCTGGGGGAGACGCTGGTCGCGTCCACGTTGAACAGCGAGGTAGCTGAACTGGACGTCTTCATGGTTCTTGTCTTTGGCATTCAGAATACGTTGAAGGTATGGTGGTCGAATGTAACGTTGACTGAAGAAACAGAAGTCCTTGCGTCCTTGAGAAACACCGGTAGACTGATACATGGGGCATGTACTGTGGTTCGTGCATGGTGCAACAATCATACCAACCTCTTTTTCGGTAAACCTGGTTTCTTCGTCTGGATGCGACACTTGAGACTCAACGGATCGTTCAATGGTTTCTGAACCGGGTGAGGCAATGTGCTTGTCCAGTAAATAAGCACGAGCGCCAGCAACGACTTCGAATCCTCGCGGCAGTCCCTTTTCAATGAGAATCAAAACACCGCCCTTGGGATTAAGCAAAGACCAGTACTTCTCGACCTGTTCTTTGCGCAGATAGTCTTGCCGCAGAGGCCAAAGCGTGTGTGGAGCAATGATAACATCGTAGAATTTCCGTGGCTGTTGCGTGTTGGCTTCATCTTCGGGTGTCACGGTCTCTGGGAGACGAGGAATAAATGTAGTGTTTTCCAATAGCTTGCTGGCGCGGTGGCGAAGTGTGTCAGACGCAGTCAGAACAGTCGCTTTGCCTAGTGGGGTAGCGCCGTGCGAAGTGTTCCCTGATTCCTCATGCATGCGCTGCCATTCCGCCTCAAGCATCTCATGCCACGCGAGCACACCAACACCTCCTGAACCAGCATCTAGGATGGTACCACCCTTCTTGTTCTGCAGCATATGCTCTAACCATCCAGTCCCAAGTCGCCGTCGGACCTCGACCATGGCACTCATGACACTCGCATACGTTCCTGGTTGGACAGATGCCATGTATGCATCAGCTTCGATGTTGCCCATGTCCGACTGCGAAGGATCAAGCGGAATTGGTTTTTGTTCATTGCCCAAGCGTGCTGGAGCCGTGCTGGCCGAGTTGGGCAGACCCCGTCCACCGAAAATTCGGTTTGCAGATTCCGCAAGGTGCTTGTGATTGGCACGGGTCAGGAGAAGAGCAGTGGGGTCCACCAAGGTTTCTTTGGGCAAGAACACGGTTGAAGGTGAAGGCTTGAAGCGGCCAGCAATAGTCAAAGGATGGGCGCGCATGAAATCACCGTCCTCCTGTGACTCTTCTACGTCCTCCCAAGCCTCTGCTTCCTCATGTTGTATTCGGCTCTGCTCATAGACGTCATCGTGGTATGTCTGCAATTCTTCCTCTCTGCGTGCCTCCCACTCCTCTGGTGTCATGGTCTCGTCGGCCGTCTCAGTAGCCTCTGCGTCTTCCTCCTCAAGAGCGTCGTTCTCAGCGACAATCTCAATCTCCTCCAGCTCGCCATCTTTTGTCCTCCTTAACAAAACCGTAGTGCCATCAGGCCGTTCTTCTTGAATGATTTCTTCCTCAGCTACTGTGTCGAGTCCCTGGTTTTCTTTTGTTGGGTCGACAAACACGGGCTCTCCGTAAAGTCTCTCGTAGACCGTGTATTCTTCCGCACTTAGATGGTCCCTGGGCAAGATATCTCCGAATTGCTGCCTCGCCCTCCGCGCGTTGACTTCGTAATTGAGTGCTTCGGTTGGAGAAGGAGGTGCATCCTCAGAATGTGGGACATTTTCCTTGGTTTCTCGGTCCAAATCTCTCTTCGCAGGTGTTGTCGAAAATGTTCGCTGTGGCGCGAAGCCTCGTGAAGCGGCCGATCGGACTTGTAGCGGTACGGATTGAGTCCTCAATGGTAATCGTGCGCTACGGGCGCGCGAAATTGCGATATTGAGACGACATGATGCGCAGATGGACTGGACGCTCCTTGTCTTCAGCATGATCGCACTGCACGTCGTGTGGCTAACGAGCGAAGTGCCCGCTGCGGGAAAGAAAGAAGTTCGCCGCACCGAATTCCAGGGTCCACGCTAGTTGGGCCTTGTTCGTCACCACTTGTCCAATCACATGTTTACTATTTGCAGCAACCTTCATCGACTACGGTGTCGCATTTAAATTGTCTTGTTACTCTTCCAAATATGGTGCTGTTCAAGATGTAGAATTAGTATCCAAGTCTTCCAAAATCAAGCACATTAGCCCGAGATCGCTACCCGAAGACCTGCTAGGCCCTCGTATCCGATATTGCGTACAAAGCTGAAATTGCCTGTTACAACATGTTCCCAGAGATACAAGAATGCGCCAAGTAGACAAGAGACCTGTAAGATGGTAAATAGGTATAGCACAACAGTAGTGGCTACGTATTCGGCAATTAATTTGCATATCCTTTGCCCCTCAGTCGACTGAGTGCGGAATTGCCCCGCTTATACCACTCGCATCGCGTCAGCATCCTTCTGTTTACTGAACCAGTCAGCCGAGAACATACTTAAATGACCAGACTGTTATACTAATCAAATAAGTTGTCTCACCTTAAGAAGCAGATAAATTCGTCATCTCCCCCTGCAGAAATCCAGTATTTGGTCTTTGCTTCTCTACATATCTATTCCGTATACTGCATCACGAGGTTTTGAGTCACAGGTAGTCTTGGAATCCGAAGATGGGCTCGAATCCTTATAGCTTTGACTACTCCTCGCTCAAGGAGTTACTCAAAGATACAAATGCCGAGGTTCTGCTTCCCGGCGACGGCCCGGCATACGAGAAGAGCATTGAAAGATGGAGTGAACATTGCATCAAGAGAGCTGTGAGTATTGATTTCTTTCTTCTCTCCATTTTTTTGGATTTTTAGGCTTATAACATACCAGGCGGCTGTCGTGCTAGTTACCTCACCCAACGACATCTCCGCAACCCTCGCTCAGATCCGCCAACACAGCATCCCGTTCACCGTCCGAGGAGGTGGACACTCTACTTCTGGCGCTGCTTCGATCGAAGACGGGATCGTAATTGATCTCTCTAAGATGCGCAAAGTGACTGTAGACCCTCAAGCCAAGACTGTCACGGCCGAGGGAGGAGCCCTGTGGGAAGATGTCGATGTCGAAGCTGCAAAGTACGGTCTCGCGACTGTCGGAGGTACTGTTAACCATACTGGTGTGGCGGGCCTGACACTTGGTGGCGGATATGGGTATCTAACTGGGAAGTATGGGCTGACGATTGGTAAGCTACCTTTGATACCTAGCACTTTATGTTTAGTTTGCCTTTGATAACAATCGAATATTGACAACACTAGACAACCTTATCTCCGTCGAGATTGTCCTCGCTTCTGGAGAACAACTCACTGCATCCGCAACCTCAAACGAAGATCTCTTCTGGGCCGTACGCGGCGCAGGTCAGAATTTCGGAGTAACAACCGCATTCACCTTTCAAGCCTACGACCAAAAGAACGAAGTCTTCGCCGGGCCACTGATATTCCCCCCGGAAAAGATCCCGCAGATTGTTGCATTCGCAAACAAGTTCCACGAAACGAATGATGGGAACCAGGCCATGCTAATGGGCTTTTCGGCGCCTCCGCCCGCAAACGCTCCTGTTGCTCTCTGTCAGCTCTTCTACAACGGTCCGGAAGCTGAGGCAAAAGCATTTTTCGCCGACCTTTTCGCTCTCGGTCCCATCGCAGATATGACATCCATGATTCCCTACGAACAACTAAACAGCCTGCTCAACGCCACTGCAGGCTTCGACGGACGCAAACAATTTGGCGGCGGCGCTTTCAAACTTCCCTTGAACCCAGACTTTATTGTGCAGCTGCATGCGGAGTTCAACGCGTTTGTCGAATCGCACGAGCGAATGAATGAGAGTCTGATATTGTTCGAGATTGTCCCCTACAAGAAGGTGATAGCAGTGCCAAATGATCAGATGTCGTTTTCGAATCGGGGAGATTATTACAACGTTGCTACGATTTTCAAATGGTGAGAGAGGATAAAGAGTGAAGCGAGATTGACACTAATGATACAAAGGTTCGATCCAGCACTCGACGCTGAAATCCGTACATTCTCTCGAAATCTTCTGAAGAAGGCTTCCGAAACTGTTGCGGGTCGTTCGAAAGACGGGGGAGTCGGCCAGTATGGCAACTATGCAAGTAAGTGAAATTGGAGTTGCAAAAAGCACTGCAGCCTTCTTCTCGTATTTGCACAGTCTCGTTCCAACGCTGATGGAAATAGATGCCGATGTGGAAGCGAACGAGATTTTTGGTGAGAATGTGAAACGACTTGAAGGATTGAAACACAAATACGACCCGGACAACCTATTCAGTCATGGGACGAGGTTGACGCCGCGACCTTTGGTAGTTGTGAACTAAATTCCCGTCACAGATTAGCGATGATTGGACCAAAACTCCTTGCAGGGAAGCATGCAAAGTTGTCTGCATTCAACCTGAAGAAATCTACATTAGACATTAAGCACCCTTCATGTTATAAATTCAGCGCCTCAACAAGGCGTAACTTTGGAAATGTCAATCGCGGCCGTAATGTGAGGGTTCGAGATTGGCTACATGGGCACCAAGGCTCCATGGCAGCCCCGCTGGGTTAAAGCGATATTCTGTGCTGGAAACGATCAAATCAATCAACATGGAGGCCTAGGGTTTTTTGTTGACTTCAGATTGGCTCGATCTTGACATGTTTGGCTTGGTGTATGTTTGAGACGGTTTTAGGTTGGAGCTCCAGCTGCACCCGGAGACTAAATAGCAATGTTCAATCTAGTACATGAGTACATCTACTGGACTGGAAGATCCTTATAAGACCAAGCCATGGGTGGTTTTAGATTTGTCCTAGGCTGCGCCGTAAAGCAGCCACGCCCGTATTTGGCAACGCCCCAGATCGTCCGCTCCGCAACACACAGGCCCATGTAGGATTAAGCTTCGGTAGAGGCGTGATGGTTGCGACGCAAGCTATTGGGTAGGGTCTCGATCGGCGTTAGCATTTCCAGTTATCACCTGCATGGCTTGACCTTATACATGTTAATACTATAACATAGACTTGCTTCGAGCAGATTGAGCTTCGTCTCGGTACACCGCCATAGTCGAATATCAAGCCGCTAAGGGGAAAAATGCTGATCTCGTGCATTGGCGATTTTCTTGTGTTTGAGACGTCCGCCGTGGAGCAAACAGGAACGAAAAAGCAATTCCGATCGGAAAGAGCCCAAGACAAGGGATAGCTGTACCATGGCGTGGCCCAGAACGTATACAAAGCCACTTCTTGCAGGCCAGCCCTTGCACATAGCCTCCAGTAACTCCCCACGTGACCCGACTGTTCCAATGGCTTTCCACAAGCATAAACGCACCATGTCAGGAATTGATGTTTGCACTACATATTAGCATTTTCTTTCTTTTCGATCTTTTGGTAGGAATTTGTGAATTTGTTCGTATGGGGAATCTGGAATGACAGCATCAGGACACATCCGCTTGATGTTCAAATGATGTAGGATGCGGGAGAAGGAGGCTTGCATGGTGGCGCTTTTTAACTTGGAAATCAGCTACCACAATCATACTTTAGATGAATTATCAGCTCCAAGAATGCATCTTATTTCTGCAGCTGCAGCGACTTGCCTTCCGCAGATCAACTCGACCACGTTCTGCATTAGAACGGGATCATTCATTGACAGCTCTTTTTGCCATTCTCGATTTTCGTTCAGAATATCACACGCCATTGCTGAGAAGTCGGAGCGCTAGAGAAACTTTAAGAAAGAACATCTACGATCGATCGAGTATGGGTAGAAGAGAGGTGGAAAATGGTAACACGCCCAGACACGCTGAATGTCGACTGCTTCAGGACAGTACAGGAGCCCCGATACTTCAGGAAGGCTACTCTATTATGGAGCATAGTCTTTACATATCTGTCTCTGAAATTGAATGCTTGGGCAGATTGGAGATTTACTATAGATGTCTTGAATCTCAGGCCATTTGTCGTTGCAAGTCGCTGACGGCCGAGAGTTAAGCCGTTCAACGTCGTGGGATAGCGCTGACAAGCTGACAAGGGAGTGGATAAGACTAGCTCTTCCAAGTTGGGCTAGGTTTCTCTCCTTGGCGGACTTATGAAGGACCTTGTCGGGGTAAATCAGTCCGTTTTCCACCGATTACATGGTTGACTGCCTTAACATATACGACGAACAGAGAGGCTCAGCTGAGGCATCGAACGTTAGATTCGTATGCAACCCATGTCGCGGTGTATGTAATCAATGATCAACAGCACTACTGCAATGTCCGGATCGTTTCGGTTTCCGTGATTCCGGGTTTTTCGGCCATCAGCTGGCAAGAAATCTTCCCTTGATTCCTCGCTGTACCGAATACGAGTTTAAGATACACATTTATTTTATACCAACGGCCTTGAGAAGCTTATCCTTTTGTTCGTTGGCTGTGTGATTTTGTGCCTCGACGCCCTTGACAACGTCGCTCATGGTCTCGACTTCCTTGACACCTGTACCATGTGCAAAGTGCCAAAGCTCGTCTTCCTCATAGCGTACCTGGAAGGCTTGCCAGTTTTGGGCCTTTAGCAAATTGACGTGCTCGGTGACAGATGGGGATGGGCCCGAGTAAACGAGGACGCCTGGATAGCCTGGCTTGGTGAGACCCGAGACGGGAGGCGACGAGGATGGGGGCGAGAGGGCAAGTTTGCGCTTGTTGGTGTTGAGAAGGTGATGCAGCCATATGATGATTGTTTTTGGGGTATCAGAAGTGGCACTGGCACTCTGAGGGGGATTCAGATCCGAAGAAGCAGACTCGATGAGACGTTCAAAGGTCGCAACGATGGCATCGAGCGATTCCTCTCCCTCAAGTAGTGTCAACTCTGCTACGGCTTCTCTCAGACGTAGCCGCAAATCATTCTTGGCTGCATCCGTTGCAGAGATGATGTCGGGAAATCCTGAATCGGGATACGTCTCCGGTAAGCGAAGAAGGAAGGAGCAATGGCCATGATTGGTGAACTTAAACTCGCGGGAGTTGGGATTGTAGTGTGTGTGGTCGGGGTACATGGCCTGTAGTAGCTCGAGCTCAGTTTCAAGGCGGGCGGGTCCGTGGTCCGCCATGCTGAGGACAAGCGGAAAATTCTACCAGGCATGTACGTATTCACGTACGTATGTAATGGGCAGATTGTGGTGGTTCCCGCAGGCAGTCCAGGGGGGTTGGCGGGAGTGTGCGGTCCTTTTGCTCGGCTTCTCTTGCAAGGTGGGAGCCAATGGGTGGGCGTGTGTTGTGGGTGCTCGACTCCACCGTGTAGTGGTTGCGCCGGAGACGTGACGCGATCCCGATCCACCGGGGCCCGTGCGCGGGCTGCACCTGAAGATGGATGGACAATGGGTGGCAGAACGACGGGCGATAGTGCATGCCGCATAATTGATGAGAAACATGGTCAGTGTAGGGTGCATAAGTGGCGTCGTAACAAGGCCGGTATCTCGCTTGCGTCTCATCTTTGGCTTGCCGTGGCCGGGGTGAATGGACACACGCGAGCATGCTCGGGGGCGTTTGCATTGGCAGCAGGACAGGTTCCCGCGGGTAGAGAAGGGCTGCACGTGAATGTCTGTCCATGTACGCCCTCTTGCAAAGACACATGCAGAACAGGCGTTGTTTGTGTTCTTGTTGCTCGTGTTTGGAGGGCGAATGACTAGCTGGCAGCGAGGGTGTTGTGTTGTGCCTGGGCCGTATGACGGTGAAACCAGTCAATTAGGGTTCCCAAGGCGGCTAGCCGGAGACGCGGAACGTTCGCGCTGCCCGGTTCGTGTCCATGTGCAGGCGGCTTAGAGACATGGCGCCAACCACCCCCAGGCCCAGCAATGCCTCGACGACCACCTCTAGTGATCTGCAGTCGGATAAAGAAAACATTGGCTCCCTCGCCCTAGCCTTGCCTTCATCAATCCACCACAGTCCGCTGCTCGCGAGCCTCCGGAAACCCATCGTGATCTTGACCACCAGCTACTAAACCCTTGTCCCCAGCAATAAACAGCCTAGCAACCCGTTTGATAGTCTCACACCACCACCACAACTACAACCACTGCCACTATCACCAACATTCCCCCCCTCTCGCCATAACTCCCACTCACTGGTTCGCACCTGGCCTTGTATCCACGACTCCCTCACCATTGATACGGCCCATGAGCAGCCGCATCTTGGTCCAACATGAAGGCTGCTCCTCTCCTCGTCTCCTGGCACAATGAAAATGCCCCGATCTACTCTGCCCATTTTGAGCCACATGGAAAGGGCCGCCTAGCAACTGCTGGCGGAGACAACAATGTTCGCGTGCGTCATGCCACCAGACACTAGCCGCCAGCATCCGCTAACACCAACTACAGCTCTGGAGCGTCGAGACGCATGGCGAAGAGCGCAAGGTCACGTATCTGTCAACGCTCGTCAAGCACACACAAGCCGTCAACGTAGTACGATGGTGCCCCCGCGGTACTTCCAGGCCAATCCAGCATGCGCGCACCACGGCTAACATGTACAGGCGAAATGCTGGCCAGCGCCGGTGACGACGGCAATGTCCTGCTCTGGGTCCCTGCCGAGAACCAGACAACCCACACAAACTTCGAGGAAGGCCTCGAGGACAAGGAGACATGGCGAGTCAAGGCCATGTGTAGATCCATAGGCTCCGAAATCTACGACCTTGCTTGGTCGCCAGACGGCGTCTTCTTCATCACGGGCAGTATGGACAACATTGCCCGCATCTACAACGCTCAGACTGGTACGACATCTGCCCTTGCGCCACTCTCCCCACAGCTGCTCAATAACCTCTAGGAACCATTGTGCGACAGATTGCTGAGCACAACCACTATGTCCAAGGTGTGGCCTGGGATCCAATGAACGAATACATTGCGACGCAATCGTCGGACCGATCTGTACACATTTACACACTGAAGAACAAGGATGGCCAGTTTTCCCTGGCCCAGCACAGCAAGGTCACCAAGATGGATTTGCCTGCGCGACGAGTATCTTCAAATAGCCCTGCACCACCCGACTTTGGCGGCCGCGCCTCTTTCGTAGGGGATTCACTGGCAATCGGCTCGCCTGTACCCTCAATGCCTGGCACACCGCAATCGCTCGCCCTGCCAACTATGCACCCACCGCCGACCTCGCATAGCCGTCGCTCGTCGTTTGGCTCCTCGCCCTCGATGCGCCGCTCTGCTTCGCCAGCTCCATCCATGCCCCTGCCCGCGGTCATGCCCAATTCTCCCAGCATTGGCAGTATCGGTACTGGAATCCGAAATGCACCCATCTACTTCAACGAGACACTCACATCCTTCTTTCGACGTCTGACGTTCGCCCCAGATGGAAGCTTGCTCTTCACTCCAGCAGGCCAATATAAGGCACTGCACCCGTCTGTAGGCGAGGCGAAGCCGGCGGAGGACATTACCAACACCGTCTACATTTACACTAGGGCCGGTTTGAACAAACCTCCAGTGGCGTATTTGCCAGGTCACAAGAAGCCCTCGGTTGCTGTGCGTTGTTCACCCGTGTACTACACCCTACGCCAAACAGCTCCTCCGACAAGGCAAATCACCATTGACACCTCCAACATGGACGATGAGATCCCCTCTCTGCCTGAGCCGGTTATGCCCTCAAAGCCCCCGACATCGCACTCATCAATGGACCCACCACCCATTACAAGTGCCCCGTCACCCTCACCAAGCGTTTCAGCACCTTCACCCAAGCCTAATGAGAACGACGCATCTGCACCAACCGCGCCGCCCGCTGGGCCTGTGTCTGCATTTACGTTGCCTTACCGCATGATTTATGCTGTTGCAACACAAGATGCTATCCACATTTACGATACGCAGCAGCAAAAGCCGCTGTGCATAGTTAGCAACTTGCACTTTGCCACTTTCACAGACATCACCTGGTAAGAAATATAAAGACCATTCAGTTGAGAAAATTATTGACACTCGAAAAGGTCTAACGATGGATCCATGCTGCTAATGACATCCTCGGATGGTTTCTGCTCTTCGATAACATTCGCTCCTGGAGAACTGGGCGACAAGTACACAGGGCCATTGGCTGTCCATAATAGACAGCAAAATGTACCTGCCGCCATTAACACAGCGGCCAGCCAGGCATCCAATCATTCTACCCCAACACCCACGCCGACAACTGGGAGCATGTCAGCAACAGCAACAGCAACAGCACCTCCAATGCAAAGACAACCATCTGCAGGCTTCCCAGCATCTCCAAGCTCCTTTGTTCCCGCAAGACCAGGCAGCCCAACAAGAAGCAACTCGGTGTCTAGTATTGCTACAGCCTCATCATTTGCTCCTGGAGCGGGAGATCAAAGCAACATGAATGCACCAACACCAGTCATGTCATCAGTACCGAGTATTGCAGCAGCCAACTCTGGGCCGGTTCCTATGTGGACACCGCCTCTTACCCCTGCTCATGGTCAGGGTGGGTCGCATAGTGCCAGTAGCTCAGTCAGTGGGGTTCCACACATTGGTCAGGTCGGACGTAGAGAGAGCGAAAGGAGCGAATGCGATCGTGACGATGGAGCAGCGCTGTCTAAGAAACGAGATCTTAACCCTGTCGCAGAGGCGGAGACGGAGGACGTGCGAGAGAACAAGAGGCGGAGAATTGCACCAACGCCTGTTGAGTTGACAATGGAGGGGGAAGAAGCGATTGCGAGCACCGAGGAGGAGCAAACGCCTGGTCAATAGTAATTGTTTGCCGGGTTGAATTTCCTTTTCTAAAGCTTCTGCACTGCTTACAGCGATTCTCTAGCACGGCGTTTGGGACATGGGCCAGGATTGCGCAATCAGCCATGGCGCTGATGTTGAGCAACAGGGACATGGGGCTCTTCGACATCTTGGGTATTTTCCGGCAGTCATTATTTGTTTAATAAGAGTTCACTGTACGAAGATATGCACGGCCATGTTTTGAGATACGGGGCCAGAATGAAAGCAGATATATAACCAAATATTTATTGCAAGAGTTTGACAAGGGCAGTCCGGAAGGATTGCCGTGTGTCTCCAAGGCAGATGTGCTAGCGCCTTGCTTGCTGTAGTATGGCTTGCTTTTTTACCAAGAGATCCAAGACGGATCGGCTCAAATCTCTACCCTGTCAGATAGGGCCGCTTATCATGCCAGCCAACCACAGGGCCGCAACGATGCTCGCGGGCAGGTTCAGACGTTGCATTCGATGCAAGGTCGCAGTACAAAAGCGACTTGCGCATCGCTGGTGTCGAGGCCCGGGTTGGATGGCAAAATTCTTTTCCCCCTTCCTTTGACATCTTACTATACCCGCCGAGTCCCGTGTCCTGTAGTAGGTGATTTCCTGCATTCATCATTCTTTGCATCTTGCATTCGCGCTCAAGGATAAACCGCCAAATCAGCACGCTCACACACACACACACACACACACACACACACACATACACATACATACATACACGCGCGCGCGTACATTCGCCCAGACAGGTTGTGTCACACACATATAAGTGCAGGTATATATGTTTTAGTAGACACAAGAGATGGACGAACCAATGAAAAGGCCGCACGAGGAGCGAGATGCCGAACAAGGGGATGATAATGCACTACAGATGTACTACGGCGAAACGAGTAGTCTGGGCAAAAACGACATTTTGCAGCAAGAGCATACGGATCCGGTGCTAAATGCAAAGATGCATCTTGTTAATAATGCTATTGATGAGGTAAACTTGAAGTCTATAGAGAGAGAGAGAGAGAGAGAAAGTTAAAAGGGATTGAAACTAACAATGGTCGTATTAGATTGGATTTACAACATATCAATGGAAGGTAAGAAAAAAAAATCCTACTTACTACATTATCCCTTCCAATTCAACTTTATGATGATATCTTTTTGTTTTTGTTTTTGGGTTTCTTGAATGGAAAAGGATTAACCCAAAAGGCAAACAACAGTTATTCGTACTCAACGGCTTCGGTTACGCAGTCGACTCCCTAATCCTCCTCATCCAATCCATCATCGCGGGCCAAGCCGCCCTGGAATTCTCCCCGTCTTACGCCAACGGCCTGACCATTGCCGCCTACGTCGGTATGCTCGTTGGCGCGCTGTTCTGGGGACTCACGGCCGATATCATGGGGCGCAAGATTGCGTTCAATGTTAGTTTGCTGATTTGCTCGGTTTTCGCCATTGTAGCCGGGGCAAGTCCGAATTGGGAGGTTCTAGGCTTGTTTGTGTGTCTGAGTGCGTTTGGGGCCGGGGGAAACCTGGTGCTGGATACGGCGGTTTTCTTGGAGTATTTGCCGAGTAAGAGGCAGTGGATGCTTACGCTTATGGCGGGTTGGTGGGGTATGTTTTTGTCTCTCTCTCTTTTATGTTTGTATGAAGTTTGAGAGGTGAGTGTGTGTGTGTGTGTGCAATGGTGGTAACTAATCTGTGGGAATATTAGGTATCGGACAACTCATTGCGGGATTCCTGGCCTGGGGCTTTATTCCGAATTTCAGCTGTACGGACCCGGAAATCGATCCGTCGGCTGCGCCGTGTACAAAGGCGAATAACCAGGGTTGGCGCTACGTGTGGTATACGTCTGGTGCGCTCGTTCTGGTCATGTCTATTCTGCGCATCACGGTCATCAGACTGCAAGAAACACCAAAGTTTCTCGTCAGCGAAGGCAAAGATGCGGAGTGTGTGGAGATTCTACAGCATATTGCCGAGAAATATAATCGGCCTTGTAGTCTCACACTGCAGATGATGCAAGACTGCGGCACCACTGAGCGCGCGGCTGCACGACAGGGAAAGAGCAAATGGGGATTTGGAGAAGTTGCCATGCATCTCCGCGGTCTGTACGCGACCAAGAGAATTGGCATTTCCACCTCGCTCATCTGGCTCTCCTGGACACTGATTGGCCTTGCATATCCGCTGTACAACGTCTTTCTACCCGCATACCTGGCCTCGCGCGGCGCCGCATTTGGACAGCCCAGCCCATACATCACGTGGCGCAACTATACGCTGGTCAACTTTAGCGGTATCTGGGGTCCTGTGCTGGCGGGCTGGATGTGCGAGACGCGGCTGGGCAGGAAGTACACCATGGTTGTTGGTGCGCTTGTGACCATGGCCTTTTTCTTTGCCTACACGCAGGTGCGCACGGCGACGCAGAATGTTGCATTTACGTGTATTATCAATTTCTGCCTCAACGTCTATTATGGCACCCTTTACGCATATACACCGGAGGTTTTGCCGTCACATGACCGCGGGACGGGAAATGGTATTGCGATTGGATGCAATCGTGTCATGGGCATTTTGAGCGCGGTTATCGCTACTGTTGCTGATGTGAGTTTTGGGGGTTTCCCCCCTTCCCTTGCAAATTATGGGTGGGTTTGCTGACATGGACCGCTAGACTGGAACTGCAGTGCCGATATACATCTGCGCGGCTTTATACATTGTCATGGCGGGTATTGCGGCGGTATTTCCCTTTGAGCCATATGGCAAGAGGAGTTCTTAAGAAAAGAATGAGAATCAGACCTTAGCCCGACTACATTGACACATGCGTCGTTGAGTTGTTGGGCTCAATGGTGGAATGTCTCTGGCATCATGATATCGTTTGATGGGAAGTCTTCCTATTCGTCTGCTGCTGCTGCATGCAGATGGTTCAGTGTTGCATGCAGGGTCCAAGGCGTAAACGCTTTCAGGGTACGCAGCTGACGACGTGTAAACTATCCCAGGGTAGTATAGTGTGACACCGAAAGAATATATGAAAAGTATGTTTTCTCATGTTATTGACTATGTTAGACATGTCAAGTGTGTGTCTCCAAAGGGTGCGGGCATATGAGTTTTCATCCAGCCTTCGATTACGCTTACAATGTTGTCCATCTTGATGTTGATGAGTCATGACTTTGCTCACCGAATGCATGTACATAGTGCACAAGTCGTGGCTCAACGTTGTTGTCGGCACAAGGTCGGAGTTTCTTTTTCCCGCATGCTGTGTCTTTGGATTCGTCAGATCGGGCATTGCTTTTTCATTCTAGCCAGAGTCGCCGCAAGCGCGGGGATGCTCTCTGTTCTATTCCCATTGGTCCGAGTTTAGTCTGTTTGCCTGAGATGGTTTACAAGCCTGTGGATTGTGGCCTTGACCCAACCGACCGGTATCGTTTCGCCTGCCCTATCTGGAAGTGGCTAGGGTGTATGTGTGAAGGAGGATGCGTTTGTAAAGTACAATATTACCCATGTCAACCCATGGATATAGCTAGCACATAGTTTTCACAAAACCATTGTCACGTTGCGGGATGCTTTCCATGTGGCTGTGGAGTGGATGATCCGGCGACAGGGATGGGTTGAAGCATCAGCCACTGCAGTGCAGGTCCTAGTCGAGTACCCAACTAGGGCGAACCGTTATCCATGGTGCCAAGAAGCGTTGTGGGTAACTCAAATGTACCGCGGGGGATATACATATGCAGATGCTAGATCTGCAGTGATTTGCATCGTCTCCAAGAGATGCAATTGCACGAGCAAGTAAGCAAGCGAGGGAGGGGCATTATCAGAACCCCGACTTGGGCTAGTGATGCGATACAAAGGCGACCAGGCAAGCATGCAAATGAGAAAGGGAAATGAAAAAAAGGTTTACACCGTGTTTTCAGTACTGGGCTTAGCACTTGGTAACGTGGACCTTGCATAGCTGGCTACGCTTATTAGGCTGGTGAAGATGTGGGATATGGCCTGGCGAGGCGGGGATAGGTCGCAATGGGCTGTGTATACCGGGCAGGGCTCGGAGAGAATCCGGGCTCGGACAGTCGGATAGTTGCAAGTGCGATGGACAGAGCGACGGGTCGGCACAAAGGTTGTGAGAAAATAGGCCTTTTCCTACCGGTCCATCTTGATAGTATGTCGGATGTTGGGTTGGCATGTCGTAGCCCGAGTCCAGACGGAGTTAAGCACGTGTGGGCCGAGGGGTGACAGCGGACAGTATAGTGGACAAGACCTTGCTGCCAGCTGCCACGATCGGTCTGTCTGGCTGGCTGGCTGGCTGGCTGGCTGTACAGTATTGTAGGTAGTGGCCGATTTGCAGCCGGGGCTTGCCACAACCACCATGGGCTCGAGGCTACGGCAGGGCATAACGGCTGCTGGTGATTGGCGGGCGGAGGATGCAGCGCGTGGGCTCTGGAGCCGTATAGTACGTGGCTTTACTTTGCGCCTAGTGCTGACGGGCAGCACTGATCGACGGGCGCTGTAAAGGTTCCCCTTGTGTGCCATGTTGCCCTGCTGAGCTTCCACCTACCACCGTCCAGCCGTCCGGGGAATATGCCCGTTCAACACGGCTGCGCTGCCATCTGCCATGCCCTCATGGCAGGCGGGGTATCGCGGCTCCTCTGGCCTCGCATCTATTTACCAGTCTGTACATAGCCGTCTTGCATCCATCTACTACATACTACATGTGTACTAGACATGCGTCTGTGCTATGATTGCGAAGCCGCAGTAAGCAACGCATCCGCTGGCTGGGAATCCTGGCCTTTAACAGCTGCGGCATCAGCACCGGTCTTGCTGGGCTCATCAGCCATAGGCGCAGCCGCACCCAAAGGCAAGCGACCGCTGCTGTCTACATATATACATACATATATACATACATACATACATACATACATACATACATACATACATGCTACTTACGTAGCACGCTGGCCAAATGCGGCATGGCCAGCCGGGCATGCAGGCGTCGCACGCAGCCGATGCCGTGGTGGTAGGCAGAGTGACCAAGAATAAGATACCATGAAATAAGCAGCCATAGTAGCAGTCGCCTCGAAACCGTTTGCTGGGCTGGGGGATGCATGTGGGCTGCCGATGGATAGTAGTGGATGCTGGGTGCAGCAGGGCGGGCTGTAAAGCAGCGGGAGTGAGCACCTCTAAGCTCAATCCCTACCGCTGCTGCGCTCGAGTATAATAAGAGGCACATGTTCAGCCCTCTGGCGTCAGTCCTGCTGCTGCTCTCGGCGCAATTACTTTAGGGCGTATGCTCGCGCCCATCACCAACTCTTGCTTCCCTCCCACCCCCATCCCTCCTACACCATGGACTACAACTATTACGCCGCGCCCCAGCAGCCATACTCGCACCTCGTCGGCGCTGGGTCTCACCCATTCCCTCACTCGGGCCTCGAGCGGGACACGACACATAGCACTGTGAGTTTATTTTGTTTATTTTGTTCATTTTGTTTTTTTTGCTTCCCCAGTGGTGTGATGAAGGTTGTCGAGTCGGCCCTGCTTGCGTACACACTCACCATGACTAATCGGGGCGTGTACAGGAACCTCTTGACGCCGTCCTGTTTCCTACAGCCTACGATGCCACTGGTTTCACCAACGGCTTGCCGACCCCGCAACAGGAGTCCCCCGAAAACGCAACAGCAAACACTCCCATGGCTGCAGGTAGCGTAGACTCGGGCATTGGTGCCGAATTCGACGATGGCCGGATAAGCCGGACGAGGAGCAGTAGTGAAGAGAAGGATAATCTGACGCCTGCTCAGAGCAGGCGCAAAGCTCAGAACCGCGCTGCGTAAGCTCCAACCGTCCTCTCCCACCTGTCCCGCCATACACTGACCCTCTGGCCCGTCTACAGTCAGCGTGCCTTTCGTGAGCGCAAGGAGCGCCATGTCAAGGAGCTCGAGACCAAGCTCTCCGCCCTCGAGTCCAGCACCCACTCGCTGCAGTCGGACAACGAGCGCCTCAAGGCTGCCCTGCAGCGTGCCCGCACCGAGAACGAGATCCTGCGTGCCACCAGCGGCCACTCGCCTTCGTCCCCACCCCAGCCAGTAACCGCAAGCTATCCCTCGCCCGGCGCCCACCTCCTCCTCGAAGACTATGAAAAGGACGAAGAATACAATGTTCAGCCCCTGCCCAACGGCTCCGTTATCAACGCTGCTGGCAAGGAACACTCGCGTCAGGGTCCAAGGGGCAAAGAGGTCCCTGCCGCAAAGGCCTGGGATCTTATCCAGTCACATACGCTCATCAAGCAGGGCCTCGTAGATGTGGCCGATGTCTGTGAGCGGCTCAAAGGCTCCGCCAAGTGCGATGGTCATGGCCCCGTCTTTGAAGAGAGCGCCATTTGGCAGGCCATTGACGAGTCACGGCGCTGCGGAGGTGATGAATTGATATGATCTTCAGCCAGGCACGCTGAACCCTTCGTTTCTCTTAATACCCCCTTTCCCTTTCGTTTTACTGTCATGGTTTCTGGTGTTTTGGCGTCCGGTACATGACTGGCTGGNGGGGTTGTCTACTAAGCTGGCCCACAAAATCGGACACTTTCGTATCGCGGCGAGGCACATTTTGGGCGGTTTGTTCATGCTACGACACAGAATAGCGATAGGCTTGGTTCCTCGA